ATAAAGAAGAAACCAATCATTAAAAGTAGAATAGGGAAGAATCAATTTTGTAGTATTAGTGATTGATATTTGATTGTCAGTTCTGATATTCGAGCTTTCAAATACTCTATTTCGCATGTTATGGTCATAACAGGCAAGAACCCTGAGCCGTGCCGTTGTTAATATAAACATTATAAGAAATTGACAAGTACATTTTTTGATAGATTTTTTAATGAATCATGAAACTTCTCTTCATTAAATAGATAAAGTAGCACAACTCTTGACTTTTTTTATCTTCAAATTGAACGAAAGCATCCCATTCACTTACGAGTGCACTTTTTTATATTAAATTAAACGGTCATACTCCTATAGATTTATGTAGTTTGGAAGAGTAAGGGCGAACTCGCAAAGTAGTCGTCTCATCTTTCTCATAAACCTTTAAAGAATGCTGTATATTATAAAAGCATGTCTTGCTATTATAGCCCTTCCTATGGTTAAAATTCTGTAAGAAATAATATACTAATCCATTTAAAGTCAGAAACTAAACTACAAAATTGTCTAGAAGAACGAGAGTAAACCCATAGACTTCGTATGGGTTTTCGTTTAAGATTCGCCTCTTCTCATTTGTAACCGTATCAACGCTCCGGTGTTTCTTTAGTTAGTGAGAGCAAGACATAGTTTTCAGATATATGTAATTGTTCTTATTGAGTTTTTGGGTACCCTAGTGTGCTTGTTGTAGTTTTAATAAATTACCCGTATTTCAAGAAAAACCAAAGTTTACATTAGCCCTAAAATTGTTTTGTTTTTTTTCTGATTTATTTTCAAAATGAACGCTGAGAAATGAGAAGGCGGAGATAAAATAAAAGCGGACCAACGGCTTGTTAACATCTGTAAATCCAAACGAAACTATGATGAAGCGTAAGTTTCAAAAAATACAAAAGAAAACTCTATCTTACGCGCACAATCGGACTGCCATGTATGTGTCGTAAAATGTGTTTCGAAAAGTTGGGCATGAACAATATCAATATGATTTTTAACAACTTTTAGGCAATCGGCAACTACGGTAATCAAAACCAATACCTTTCAAAAGTAGTATAGTTGTGGTAATGATTGTAAAAAAGTTTAATTACTGGACAGAGTTAATAAGGAAGCTTTGGACCATAGAATGCAGTGTTTCAAATCAATGGAGAAAGAAAATGTGTTTGTCTTAGGCTTTTAATTAACATCCAATGAGCAAAAAAAATTCGCGTTATTTTAGACAAGCTGACCATCACACGAACAGTGCTGGGTAATAAGGGAGGGAAGCTAAGTCCAGTAAATAAAATGGTTGGATAAAGAAAGCAGTTGGTCAGGAATCACATTAATTTACTTGTACCGTCTCCAGTCACTATAGCAGAGTCAAAAGTCCTTTTCGAAAATATGTGCCACCGGGTTCGTTAATTACTGGGGTATATGGAGCTTATATGCAATGGCTGAGAAACACACATCCTAAAGAACAGTCTGTGATAGAGTCCTTTTATCGGAATACCTTTGCCAACGAATTCAAAAAGGTGTTCAGCCTCCTTCTGTTGATGATTGTAACACCTGCTCTAAGATTCAAGTTGAACTTGATGGGTTAAGAGACTAGCCACCCAAATTCTCCCAAAGTAACTGAATTGGATACTAAACTGAAGGTTCATTTAGAAAAGCAGAATCTGATTAGAATATGATGAAAAGCTACGAAAGCAACCAGGATGAAAATACTGAAGTTGTATGTATTGATTTTACAACAAGCATTACCGACGCCTAAACTTACCTGCGACGTACAATACTACAAAAGAAAAATGTGGACCTACAACTTAGGATTCCACAACGTTAAAACAGGAGCAGCTATAATGTATGCATGGGATGAAACTATCGCTAAACGCGAATCGTGCGAACTTGCCAATTTTCCTAGTCACTACTGGGAGAACTTCATAATTAGTATGTGGGAAACGTAATTTTTAGTGATAACTATGTAGGTCAAAAATAGCATATAAACGTTTTGTCTAACCTTCGCCACATTCATGCAAAGAGCTTTGATCTTATTAAGCACCTTTTTTAACGTAAGGTCATTCGATAATGGGATCTGATCGAGATTTTGGTTCAATTAAATTAAAAGATCAAGGACTGTGAGATATTTTCTAAAGAACACTATATCCATTTCATTACACACACTAAAGAAAGAACAAATTCCAAGTTGTTAATGTCACGGCATTCTGCAACTGGGCATAAATATCAGCCATTCACTGTTTGCCAAACTGTTCGACAACGTAAATTCTCCCATACACATGAAATTCCCTCTGAAAAAAGTGAATTTTACAGTTTATAGCTCTATTGCCTTTCCAAGCAAGTTCAAATGGGCAAAGGTGAAAAAACTTGTTGTGTGCCCCATCGGAGGTTTTCTCGTCGTAGCTTTGGGATGCGTTTTTATTAGTTCTTCGGTGAATAATGCTTTTAAGCTAAGTTTTCTGTTTCCTTAAATACTTTGAAGCTGCCTCCGTTCGGTATCTCTGGCCAATCCTGCAAATTTGAAAGATATATCAGTGAAAGGGTCGATTTTTTACCGTACTCTGTAAAATATTTTTTTGTACTGTATCATTGTTGTACCATTTTTGTATTCTACCCATTGTTGTGCTGTAGTATTCCACATTTACTTTACAGATGACTCTTTATAGTCTTCGCCATTGCCCTTTTTCATGTTAAAGGCATAATTCTTGAGAATTCTTGCTAGTTTCATTACAGTGCTACATCTTTCAAGCGTAAAATTTCTCACCCATAGGAACTTCAAAAATTAGGTCCAAATAGAGCTTCTGGACCTCTGCGTGTTCAATGGGACATTTTCCGAAACCAATTTTTTGATTTCTTCATCTGACGCATCCAGCTGATTTTTCGTCTGGATTCATTATATATGTCCAAAATTGATTACGCCCTCAACGACGTTTGTTAAACTGACAACAGTAGAATTACCAGACACCTTCGTGACGGATCTGTCATAATTTTGTCGCTGAGAATCACGGGTAGGAAGGTGTTTTGTCAATAGGAAACGTGGCATTGTAATGTCGTTTTATCAGTTAAAAATAGTCTAGTAAAATAGTCAGTAAAATAGACGTAGATTAAGTGTGTTCTCATTGTTAATCAAACCATGCATGAAAACAAAAGGCCAGATGTGTCTCGTGAACATTTTTACATAAATACCAAATTGAAATTATGGAGCAGCAAGCGCTTAATCCAGACCTTAACTTTATTGTACGCTTTAAAAATATGCTCAATAGATGAATTTGCAACGTGACTTATTTTTTCCCTAAGTTAATGGCACTGGTTCAGAGGATATCCCAGAAATAACAATCGAAGAAGTCTTAAAGTGATTAAATCGAATGAAAAACAATCAAAGCAGCTGGTGATGAACAAATTGTTATTGAGGCAGTTAAAGCAGGAAAAAAAACATTATTGAAAGCATTGACATAATTATATAACTTATGCCTTTCAAAAGAGGTTACACCCTCTCAGTGGAATAATGCTGTTATAGTAGTCGTGCACAAAAAGAGAGATATAACAAAGCTAAAAAACTATAGACCTATTAGCTTGTTATCTCACGTTTATAAGTTGTTTATGAAGATAATAACTAATAAGTTGACATCAAAACTAGACTTCTATCAACCTTGCGGGCAAGCAGAATTTGGAACTGGATACGGAACAACAGATCATTTGAAAACCATTAAGTCGTTAATTGAAAAAAACCATTGAATATAATAAACCCCTTATACTTGTCTTTGTCTTGACTTAATAACGATACTGGGAAATTTCGTATTGAAAGAGGCATTCGGCAAGGAGACAACATGTCTCCTAAATTATTTACAACTTACAATTGTAAAACAATGAAAAGAAAGAATGAAATTGGAAAGAAAAGGGCATCAATGTAGATGGAAAATATTTAAATAGCCTTATATTTGCAGCTGATATCGTTCTTATTGCAGACAGCTTTGATCAGGCACAGATAATGCTTTAAGAACTCCATACTACCACAAAAAGAGTTGGTCTTAAAATAAATTTTTCAAAAACACATTTATGACAAATTTAGTCCACAACAAAAACATCTTAGTAGAAAACAAATATATTGAGCCAGTTGAGTCCTATAATTACTTAGGCCATGAGATCAGAATAAGTCGAGACAACCAAACAATCGAGCTGAAAAGAAGAATAAACCTCGCTATGGGCCGCATTTGGAAAGATGAAGGAAGGTCTAAGATTCCAATGTGTCTGAAAAGAAAAATATTTAATCAGTGTATTTTGCCAGTGATGACCTACAACGCAGAAACCCTAACACTCATAATAACAACAGTGAGTAAAGAGAATAATGTTAGGGATTTTCTCTACGTGATAGAAAACCCAATGCTACTACACGCAAAAGATCAGGAGTAGCAGACGTTATTGTAAGGATAAACAACACTAAAGTGGAACTGGGCAGGTCATGTAACAAGATCAGTTGATGACCGGTGGAATTTTGGAATGGAGACCCCGAATACAAGCTTACAGAAATAGAGGTCGACCCCCAACGAGATGGACAGATGACATAAAAAGAGTGACTACAAATTGGTTTTAAAAGGCGCAAAATAGGACTAAGTAAAAAAGCATGCGAGAGGTCTATGTTCAGCAGTGGTCGTTAGAGGCTAGTTTATGAATGGCACTGGCAAAGTCAAAAGGTCAGTCATGTCAATTTGACTTATCAGACAAATAATTTCGTGCGAATTTTCTTATTTTTGAAACAGAATTATATAATATTTGAGGTTGTTATTATACAAGAACCTAACATATATTTCTGATTTTTTACATCTTAAAGACAAAATAAAATTTATCGAATTGTTTTCTGGTTATTTGTTCAAATACGCTTATTTAAATAAATAAAAAAGCAAATTTAATTAATTTTAATAAACTTTGAATACGTTTATACAAAATAAACAGTGATTTTAATGCATATTCTGATACGATTACTTTTATTTCAGTTGTGACATTTCCGAGGGCAAACCCGGCTCTGGAAATCCTAGACGAACTCCATGACGCGGAGATTTACAAAGCCGTCTTGTCGTCCATGAACGATTGGAAGCGAAAGCAGGAGCAGAAGAAAATCACTAACAGGTATTCTATGTCTTCATAAACTTTTGGTGTTGTCGCGAAAACGTTCAGAAAACAAAAGGCCTCCGTTCTTTCGCATTAGTTAGAAAATCCTCGAGTGTACAAATAAGATTTGTTTGGCACAGGGTCAGAGTTGATCTTTTCGGAACGTTAAAAAAAATTACTGTAGGAATAAAGCTAAATAATTATATGTAAAACATTATCTTTTTTATCTTGTTACTTTTATTTGCCATTTTTATTAAAAACAATATTACAATAATTGTTAACAATTTTCTAAATAAATTACAGAACTATTCAAAAACACAATTACGACTACTTGAACTACCAACCTTCTGTTTATATACCTTTGCTGAATTTCCACTCCTTTCTTTTTCTTACGTTGGGTGGTTTTCATCTGGAATTAAAGTACGTTTTGTAATTAAAAGTTTTTGAGTTTCAACAAAAAAAAAGGGATCCATGAAAGGTATTCGGAATGAATTCAACAAGCAAATATTGCTGATGTCCACAGATATTGTTAGAAATTTAATAATGAATCCAAAGCGGAACTCAAAAAAGAAAAAAAATTGGGTGAGAAACTGGATTATTAGGCAAGAAAGTCTTGAAGTAATTTTTTATTTTGGCCTTTATCTCCTTTATAGTAATATCTTCACCCATTACCTCTTGAATTATTTTCGTGTAAGCATTGTCATTTTTGATATTTTTTATATAAAAGTGATTTAGAAAATAAAAGACACTCCAATTCTCTATATATAGAAATAAATTTTATGGTATTCTCATCACCTCAACGAAGATTTTTTTAAATTAACAAGTAAAAATAAAACGATTAATTTTTATCACCCACACAACAAATTTGACAATTTTATGCTAGCTCTTGTGGCGCGCATTCACAAATGCCACTGATACTCCACACGCATGCGCCTTGCACTCACAGCATGCAACTAGCAAGAAAATCAAATTCTTTGCGGTTAGCTAGCATGCCAGGTAACTAGCATACCAGTTAACGTACACACATTATCAATTTGGAGATAGTAGCTGGTGCTTGCTAGGTACTGGTATGCCATTATGCTAGTAACAGGCATGTGTAAAGCCGGAGATTTCGAGTTTCCAACAAAAAAATAGAAATCCATGTCCATTTTGGCCTTTATCTTCTACACTAGTAATGCCTTCACCCATTTCCTCTTAAATTTTTGTGTAAGCGTTGTCACGGGCTATTTTATTTTTGTATAGATTTCGAATTTAAAAGAACACTCCAATTCTCTATATATAGCAATAAATTTTATGGTTTTTTCACCATCCCCAACAAAACATTTTTTTTAAATAATAAGTTTAAAAATAAAACGATCAATTTTTATCACCAATACAACAAATCTGACAATTCTCTGAGCTACTGGCATGCCAGTAGCGGTAACACGCGATCATACCTGCCACTCCCCACGTATGCGCCTTGCTTCTTACAGCATGCTACTAACAAGAAAAATAAAATTCTTTGCAATTAGCTACCATTCCAGGAACTAGCATGCCAGTTAACGTAGACACTTGCCAGTTTGGAGACAGTAACTGGTGCTTGCTGGGTTGCCATTGTGGCTAGTAACAGGCATGTGTATCTCCGGCTTAAGGAAGGCTGAAAGAAATATTCAATAAATTTCCTGCTATGGTGAAGAAATGGCATCCACTAAACTAAAATTTTTTAAGGTAGGTTCCAAATATACTCAACACATTGGATTGTACCCACATTAAGATTGAAAACCCAAGTAAAGTAATAAAATATCTTATAATTATACATGCAGACGATGCAGAGCTATGTAGACACAGAAAAGGCTACTTTTCTATAACTACAAAATTAAACAATCTAATTTACACAACCTAACTACTTAATATAGTAATGGGAGAACAAATAAATTACGAAGTAACCACAGATGAACAAATAAACATAGCAAAACAGAGAATGATAAAGAAATGGTCCTATTTATGACAATAATACAGACTTACTTATCCAACACGTTACACCAGACTTGAAACTAAATTAAGAAGAAAACCTTGGTATAATGAGTAGGATTACAGTTGATAAAGTATAACTACTATCAGTAAAATGACGTTTGGTCATGCATGTTTATCCAGCACATTTATTTAAAATAGAAATACTTGAGAGTGATCTTTGTGAAACCTGAAATAAAATCGGTGACCTGAACCACATCTTTTTGATTTTTAAAATATAGAGCTCAATGTAATGAGCTTTTCAGAAAACTTTAAAAAATAAACATTAAAAGCCCATCTGTCATTAAAAGCTGTCTATTGTCAAAACTACGAATAAACAAATATAACCACCTTTGTTAATACCTGATGTCTTTCTTTGTATGTATACCTATCTGTCCGAGGCCCAGTTTTTATTGTTTATAAAAAATGCTCTGATCAAAACCTGGGCGAAAAGAGTGTAATCCTGTGTCATCCTTATATTGTATCTGTTTTTAAAAATTTGTGTCTGGCTGTTTGGATAGTTAACCTCAAGCCAATAACAAAAAAAAACTACCAAATAAAGTAACTATAACACGTATATATATAACATATAATATAACACATATATTTATAAAAGTGAGAAATACGAAAGTTTTTATTGTTAGATACAATGACCTTCCATCAAGTAACAGTCAAATTCATTACTTTTTGGTTATATTTATTTTAGTTTAGAGTTTTTCGGATTTCTTTAAATGAGTATTCTTTATTTATTATTTGAAAGTTAAAAATATGATCATCAGTAATTATATTACTGTCTATCACCAATCATATCTTGTTTCTAAACCTAGATATGCCCTCTAGAAAAAGTACTACACTATCTTATAGCTAAAATATATATATACATATATATATATATTATATAATAATATATATAATAAGTTTTTATTTGTCTTTACTAATGATGTAGTTGGTAATAAGTCCTGGTTGGTGCAAAGTTTATAAAAAAACATATTTAAGATACAAAACTTGTTCTCTTCTAGGTAACTTTCTAATCCCGATCCATTTTAAATCCTTTCGTTTCCTTTAAAACTCCCCTGTTTCCCTAAAAGTTCAGAAAACGAATAAACCATTCTTTTTGAAGTGTAAAATTGTGGTTAGAGAAGATATATAGTTCTTAAATTGCGGGGTTAGAGACTCTGAATGGTTTTGATGCGAATATGCGAGATTTTAAAGGGAATGGAATGAATTGTGTCACATGAGTGAAATATGTTACATTCAGCATTTCCCTAAGTGAAATCTTTTTGTATTACACTAGTAAAAGTTTTTATAATCTTTAAGATATTGTTACAAATTACTTTTATGGTATTGCCACAGTATAATATATATATATATATATATATAATATATATATATATGTATATATATATATATATATAATATATAATATATATATATATTATATATATATATATTGAAATGATTCATATGTAAAAAGGATACAATTTAAATGTATTTTTATATGAGTTTGTTGTTCATGAATTTCATGAAGCCATCACAATGTGGATTCGACTCTGAAATAAAAGAGAGAAAAAGATTAGTAAATTGTTAAATTAATTAATTTTGACTTACCTGGTATAGTGTTAATAATTTCTAAATAGTATAGTTGCCTAGTGTATAGGTGAATCGTCTAAACCTTAAAAAAAGAAGAAGAATTCTTAAAAAATATTTAAACATAGAAATTTTAAAAAATAAATGAAGGAAATTTATTTAAAGTGTCAAGCAAGTCTGTGGGAGCTAAATTAATAGGGGTTTTGTTAATAAGAAATAACAATGATGTGGAGATGAAAAGAATAAATTGTATTAATAGAATAAGTTTTATATCTGAACATTTTTTTATATTCCCAAATTAGATGTGGTTAAAGTGATTATGAGAAATTAATATGGCTTGACAAATGTGTCAGAACAGGACAGTTTTATGGTTTAAATAAATTTTAAATAGAAGACGAAAAAAAAAAAGAAACGTTGGTTGCGGTTAGCAACGGAGAAGATATTTTGGAGATGCCGACGCTAATTTTAGACCTCTTGTCCCCGAAACTGTGGAATAGGCCGGGAGTGTTTTTCAACTCGTCTGATTAAAATTTAGTTTTTCCACAATTTCCAGTGTTTTGGAAGAGCAGAGATATCCAGAATTTGTTCCAGAGAGTAAGAGAAACAATTTGAGTTATAAATTATTATTGGAGTACAGAAATTTCATTGAGATTGTGAAAATTAAAATTCATGAATTAACAGAATTGCGATAGGCCTTATAAATTGAAAAATATTAATGACCATTAAATTAAAACTAGAGTAGTACGTACCTTAAATTCCGAAGAGAGGATTGATATTCCAGTTTCACCGATTATTTTGCGAGAAGTTAGTTTTCTTTAAGGAAATCAGAACTGTTTTAAAGTGAGGTTGGATAATACTTTAGGGGATCATTTGTAATTTTGATTATATTTGAATGCAAGTTGAAAGTCAGCGGAATAAAGTGATCAGTTTCTTTTTCTTTATAGTTCATTTAAACACTTCATAAAGTTGCAATATTTATTTAGATTTCAGGTACTTGTAGAAAGTCTCCACATTTTGTAATCGATTTTTATTGTCACGACACTAAACCATATTAAGGTTTACACGATTCCTATTTTTGTAAATTTTTAAAGGCAACCCAAGTTGCAAACGAATTTTATTGTTCAAAATAAATTTGTTCAATATTAATAAATAACGTGCTTCATTTGGGTTAATTTATCAAAAGTCTAAAGTAAATTTTGGTTTAATTTCTGTTTGAACTCTACCAGGAGACTACAGTGTCGACGTCACACAGTGACAGATTGCTAAGAACACATAATTGAGCTAGCCGAGGTATGTTAGATTAAACAACGAACCACATACTTTAAAAAATACAACATTTATTATCAATAAAAATAAAATTAATTAAACATAACCTTTTCAATGTATATGTATGTTTTGAGCAAATTGAGTCTTACTGCATGTTAGCGCCAAATATTGTATGTGCTCTTTCCAGGAAAGCTTTGAATCCAACTACACACCGATGAATTTTATAGTTTTCGAAAGAAATGACGCTGTTTTGAAAATAAAGAACTAGAGCATTGGATAATTTTTTTTGAAAACAGCATACCGTATATATTTACAACGGAGAATTCGAATCCTGTACTAGCTTTCCATTCATCTGGCTGGGTTAGAATTACATTATTGAGTTCTGAGCCTCGTGGGATACCGTTTTCAGCAGTATAAAAATCTGAATAAACGTCGTGAACTCTTACTTGGAAAGAAAAGTCTTTTAAGAAATGTTTGATATAGACTAAGCGGTGTCCTCAAATATTTGGATGAGTCCGAACGGCTTTTTTGATTAAAGTGATTGTATTATTTGGTTTTTTAAATCTTCTTCTATTTTCTTTGTTTTATTTTCTTTTATTCTTTGCTAGTTTATTCAATATCCTTCAAAATAAATATTCTTTACCACAGTTAGTAACATTTCCTGGTCATGTAATATAAAATTAAAGCTGAATTTAAGGCATAGTGTACTAAATATTATGTGTATTAAAGCTTAATTTAAGGTTTTAGTTTTTGTCTTATTTTATATCTGTGTTATTTTGCAGGTTAAAAAGGGAAGACACAGTTTCAGCTTGCTACAGAGATTTAGGATGTTTCGAAGCGTCAGGACCCTTTGGGTATCTAGACACTGTTCCGGACAAACCGGAAGATATAGGTAAGTAATATTAATTATAAAATGAATTGTTTAACTTTGGTGTATAAATAGTTAAGCAAGCTTTTAAAAAAAATTAAGTTTTTAATTTATAATTCTAATAATTTATCCAGTAATTTTACAGTCCGGCGTCACTTTGTTTTCTTCTTTTTTTATTTATTTCCATTGATTCCTGGACATGCAGAGGAGATGTATAGGTTCACTTATACAGATTAAACGAAATAAATTCGGAACATACGAAATATTATGTATTTCGGCTCAATTCTGCTGTAGGTGGTTGGCCAACAAAAGGTTGTCAAATAATTATATTATAAAAATCCAATACTTCAGCGGGCTGCTGGACTCTGAACTAATTCAAGAACTCATTCATAGGTGGTCAAACCACCTATCGCTTCCTAAAGCCGGCCACTCACGGCACAGCGGTGTCGTTCGACATAATCGGACAGAGGCGTTGTTCAATTTGTTGGTATATCTGGTGCGCCCACACACCATACTGCGCCGCAGTATTTGTTCGGTTCTCGACCATGTCAAATCAAACAATCATTTTAGCATGTCTTACTTTGTGTATAACTAAGCGTAAAAAGAAACCTAAAATAAAATCCAAGATTTTGGTGCCAAATAAATCTCGTCTGCCCTGCACCCGATTTACTGGACTGCACTGCCAATTTTAATTCTCTTTTATAGGATGTTCTAAAATTGTTAATTTTTTTCTTACATACTCTTCATTCGCATCTTTGTTTACTTCTTGAAACTTTAAAACTAGAATGTCCATTGCCTGTTTTTGGGCGTTTCTATCGTGATACGTTTTACCTTTTATTCGCTATAAGCATTCTTGTTTTTTTATATAATTTAAAAAAATTCACGCTAAATCAAACCATTTCGATTTTCTATAATATGATCAAAGCAAGTGTGTAGTTAAAAACGCAGTTGAACAACGCCGCTGTATCGTGAGTGGCCGCCTTTAGGCAAGCCCCTCTTTCGTTTATCGGAAATGGAGATTTTAAGCGGTGTTGTCAATAACATTCCACTAGTTGTTTCTAAAATAACTACAAACTTCTGAAATAACTACAAACCATTAAGTTTATTTTTTTTATTCGTCTGTTGTAGTAGATTGGTAAATACAATGAAAAATGTAGGCAAATATCCGATTTATTTAAAGATACGAAGAAGATATAACTCTCAAAAAGATCCACAAATCGGATTATTACACGGCGATTGGCAACATTGACTTTGAGCTGCGCTCTAGACTATGGTGGGTTCTAAAAGTTGACGGATAGTTGAACGATATTTTATACAATGTCTAACACCGGGTATGGATTTATTTTTGTCCAAGTTTTATATTGGTCCACTATTTCAAATGCAGTTCAAACAGACATATATTTAAATTGTATGATCCGTTTTAATTTCATTCAATCTGTATATCTCCTCGTGAGTTCACTCACTCAAACCACGTCACCATCGACAATATAGACGAACCGTCCTCTGTATCAATGACCGACCTTGAAAGCCATCGAAAAAGGCATTGAAGAGGACGTCGAAAGCTCGGCGTAATGATAATCGACGCGGCTTATTTCGGAAGACCGTTAAGTTTAATATTAATTCCTGTAATAGTAACGAGCTAAAAATAGCGAAATGCTCGTAATACAATGGAAGCTAGAGATGTGACTATTTCTGTCTTGTATATTGTTTGCACAGTATTTTATACTTTGCTTAATGTAGAAAGTCGACGTCTAGTGCCCTTTGAAGGAAAGGGGCAGATAATGTGTTACTAATAGGAGAAGAATTAACATTTAAATGGGTTTAAATTAAAATATAAAAATGCGGTTTCATTAAAAAGCAATAAACTTCAAATAGAACTGTTTAGTTCAATGTTAAAAATTTCGTAATAAACATTTCCACTGTTTTATTAATGCTTATGTTAAGGAAGACATAAAATAAAAGCGAGGAGTTATAAAAAATTTCTCATAAACGTTAACGGATGTTGTTGGGATGTACTTTTATTTTCTAGTGTAGCATAAATTAACATTTGATGATTCGTTTTTAACTTTAGATATTATGGCAAATATAACATGTTATGCGTTTTCTATACTGACATAACAATTACTTGTGTTATATTCCTCGCACGAAAAATTTTTATTATGAATTTTAAAAAAGCTAATAACAACCTAAAGAGATATAGTTACGTATGAAGTTTAATTACTGTTTAAAAGCTGTTTAGTCATTTAAAATGTAGAATTTATCTTATATATATATATATTTATATATATATGTTATTATATATATATATTTATAGGTATATATATATATATATATTTATTATATTATTATATATATATTTATATATATATATATTATATATATATATTAATTTATATATATATATATAGGTATATATATATTTATATATATATATTTATATATATATATATATATATATAGGTATATATATATATAGGTATATATATATATATATATATATATATATATATATATATATATATATATATTATATAATATATATATATATATTTATATATTTATATAATATTTAATATAAATATTATATATTATATATTATATATATATATATATATATATATTATAGTATATATATATATATAATATATATATATTATATATAATATATATATTTATTATATTATTATATATATATATCTGTGCTGTTTGGGAGAAAACATGATAACTCAAAAAATAGCGAAAATTTTGTTAAGTGCTTGCACTGCATTTTGTTTTTGATCTATTTTCGTTTAATCTGACTATGGTATGTCCATTCATGTCTAGAAAATGAGCCACGGCTTGGTATAATATCGATTAAGTCATATTATTCAAATTTTGTTTGGTATAGTTCTGTTAAAAATATTGTACTCATGTACCCGAAAACATAATTAAACAATAACGTTTTGGTTCATATCTGATAATTGGTACTTATCATGTCTAGATCAAATAATATGCCCATTCTTTTGGTAAAACATTTTGGTCCATATGTGATAAATGGTACTTATTATAATTATATCATATAATATGCAAATTATTTCGGTAATTTAATGCTATGTCCCACTTAACATCTTTGATTCAAATAAATATTACCTATATTTAAGTGACATTTTCTGTAAGTTTTTTATGTAAGTGGTAAAATAACATGAATATACAAACTTTTCTTTGCATTGTTTTGTACTTAATCATAAATTATTCATGAGCATTTGGTCACGTGTCGATTGGATTGTGTTAGTGTTAAGGTCTATCGATGGCTAGTACACTTTTAGTCAGTAAGTCAGTATTAAAGTCAGTTTGTCTAAATCTTTCGAAGGCGAATGACGCAATAAATGCGATCGAGTAATTTGGTAAACATGGCTTATAATACAAGGTTTCGTTATTAAAAAATAATTGAGATGTATTTAATAGAAAATGAACAGTCGTCTCTTCTAATAATACTCAGTGTATTATAAGACATGTTTACAAATTACCAAATTTCATTAACTTCAATCAATCAATCAATAAATTATTAAAAAAATTATTAATAATTCAAATATTGTTGAAAAATATGTATCGATACCTTCTTGTCTTAGTTTGGTGCAAGAATTTATAAACATTATGAACACACACTTCGAATACGATAAAAAATAAAATGCAAATGATTTGTGTCGTTACACACTGTGCCAAAATAATTTTTTTAAATGTGTAGCTTAAATGCACATGAAATGGCGGATGCGCTGGTATTAGCATTTTTAAAATTTTGGTGGATCGACAGATATTGTGTAGTTCAGCGATACTCAGGTTTGAGTTTAGTTTTGAACCTTAATAATATATATTTTTTTTAGTTGATTTTCTTGGGCTTGGGTTACATAAAAAAAATAATTGATTTGATACTAAAACATTTTCATATATTTTTTCGACGTTTCGGCAGGAAATCCATGCCTTTTTTAAGAAATAATACTAAAATTTAAAAAGTTTGGTATTAAATTTTCTGTTTTACATCTAAGTAAAAAATTCTTCAATTTCTTTGATTTGGTTGGTTTCAATACTAAGATAGAAAGGCACATTTTCAGCCATGCCTGCATATGTTGTTTGAGTTTTAGTTCTTGAACCTTAATATATATTTTTTTTTAGTTGATTTTTCTTGGGCTTAGGTTCATAAAAAAAATTCTAATGCTAAATGCTATAGACACCACCAACTATCTTGCTTCAAGGATCATGTGTAAGATCATTGTAACATTTTCTTCTTATACTAAATACGTTTCACTTTCAGGTACGAAGTTTTTGATGTATCCTGGGAGAAGGAGAAGAAAAAGAGGATCTCCACCAGCAGAAGTGCCTTTTGAGAAATTAGATGACGCTTTTGAATGGGCCAAAGATGGTTTTAATGGTAGTTTACCGACAAAAGTGTTAGTTCATGGTTTTGGAAGCGATTGCAATTATATTTGGGTTTACGAAATTAGAAGCGCACTCATGGCTGTGGTAAGTTACTTAGAAATTATTTTTTCCTTAAATTTCGAAATTTTTATTTTATACATGATTATCAGTAATATTGTTCGTAATAAATATGTAAATATTTATGATATTGTTTTATATAAATGCGTTTCTGAAGGTTTACCCATTCTTCAAATATATCAATGGTCGTTAGTGTTATGATAATAACAATTACAAATATGAATGAATGAGTTAAAAACAGTTTAACTGTATTTAAATTTAAATAAACTAAACCAAATAAATAAATAAAATAATTATTAAATAAAGTAAAATTTAAATAGAGTTAAAGTAAAATGAAATAAATTTAAATAAACAAAACAAAAAAATTTAAATAAATAACAAAAACTGCACACCACACTGCGAATTGTATTCTGAAACGGCTTTTTAATCAGTACAGAGCAAATTTGAGGTGGAAATTGGGCCCTGGACGCAAACCTTAGAATCGACTACTTAAAAAACTGAAACCATCGTGATTACTTTTCAAATTTGTTGCAAACGCCGTTCTACAAACATCTTATATGAGAGACGGCTTACAAACAAAAAACAGTAATTACTTGTTCAGAGCTGATCACATTGAGTAAAAATCACTTTCTTTCACAATTTTGCCGGTTTCCTCCGACCAAACTAAACGACGTATGCTCACAATCGCTACCCTTTCAAACCTAACTTTCGACCTTTGATCGATCTCTGTACCCGCTTCTTATGCCACATTTCATATCCACCCTAACCAGTTCTGGCAACAAAACAATCCAAAAATCTTGTCAAACACGCTATTTGATCTCGAATCATTCTTAGTTTTTAAAATTGTAGAACTGAACATAAAAATAAATAAAACCATATTTAAAGTCACAGAATAACTGAAATTTGCATTTTTTCTTCTAAATCATAATACAAACAGAGAATCAGCGAAATATTTATACTTGGCTCAGGAGCGTACTAAAAAATTTTTTTATTACTTAAATATTGGATAGTTTTTAAGGAAATTTCTGCATGCTACAATTTGACCACTGAACGTTGTAAGTTGTTCTCAAACTAAAAACGCAAACAATGTCGATAGTGTCACAATACAACTCAGTGATTCTGGTCAACTGCCAGTGAGGAGTAGGTTGTTGTTTCCTTTTATACGGATAAGGGAACGTTTAGTGAGAGATGGCAATAAGAACCGCGTCGAAATTTCGGCGTGGCGTGGTGGTAATAAAGAAGTCCTCGACGACAGTCGAAATGCTATTTTGACGTGTCCAACAGTAGAACTACTATATGCGTATGGGTGAAAATTGTAACAGCTGTGCAGGTGTCTCTCCAGGACTAGCACAAAGGCTAAAAGGGAAAATATTTCAAAACAACAGAAAAGGTGGAATTATAAAACACCTCAGTTATATAATAATTAAATATTTACTAGATAGGTATGCAAAATTTTTATTGCTGATTTAATTTATTGATTTATTGTTGCTTCCGAATTATAAAAGCCATATCCTGTGTAATTAAATTTTCGTTTACATATTCACAATATCTAGCTATATCGGTTTATATAATATTATATTAAATACATAAATTTACTGAACTCTGTATTAATGTAAACTCAGTTACCTTCGAGTAAATTGCATGCTTCAATATAATATTCTGCTCTGCGTACATTCAGTAGCATTCAGACATTCTGGCAGGAGTACAATGGGATAGTTAATAGAACTACTGTATTGGTGTATTGGATGTGAATTATTTCACATAACTGTACAGGGTGTCCCAAATTGGTATATTTTGCAAGGTATACAGAAAACTAGAGATGATAGAAAAAAAATAGTTAAGATGTCATGACTTCTTTTTTCGTTAAAGTAACGATCGCCCAATCAAATCATCAATAGTTCACCACATAGCACTGAGCCGCCACAAGTGGTTGACGGTTCATGTATTATTTATACAGATCACGATACTGGTACGTCAAGAGTAAGGCGAGTAGGAAGATTAAGACTCCGAACTCGAATGGAACCATATTTTCTCTTGATAATTGTTCCAAAGTGGGTACAGAAACGTCGAGTATTAAATTCTCAACGCAGTTTTCCCGAGAACTTACTAATTTTTCATATATATATATATAATTATATATATTATATATATATTTATATATATTTATATATATACTACTCCGTATTTTTATAGACACCATCGTTATATAAACTGTTTTCCATCGTCTCTTTTACGACCAATTTTGTATTCCTTTAGACGTAAACATTTATAGGTTTGTTATTCTATTACAGTCTTATATAGTATTTCTTAATACATGTTTAGTATTAATAAAATATTTTGTAAATGAAATTTATTTAAAACAAAATTTGTTTCTTGTAGGAAGAAGTCAATATCATATGTGTAGATTGGAGCAATGGAGCTGCGCTACCGAATTACGTAAAAGCTTCTGCCAATACAAGACTGGTAGGGAAACAACTGTCCCTTCTCCTTAGAGGACTGGTAGAAAAAAATGGACTGTCTTTGAAAAAAACTCATATTATCGGCTTTAGCTTAGGAGCTCATATAGCTGGATTTGCTGGATCTGATCTTGGAAATTTAAGCAGAATAACGGGTACGTTTTAGATATTTATGTTATAATTTTTCAAATATGTGATATTTATTTTTTTTTTCGGTTTATTATAAAACTTTTTTTGACATGTGTGTCACGAATTTTTTTCAGACTCATATATTAGATTTTGTGATATAATGCTAATCTGATCAGTTAAATATAGGAAGAGCTATTCTCCTAACCGATGCTGATGACATTGGCAATATGTCTCGCAGAATAGAAGAGGCGGCAGAAATATTAGTCCAATCGTTAGAGATTTGACCTTTAAAAATCATACTTTTCCTTCTTCTTTTCTTAGCCTTCTGTCGTCCATGTTTGGACATAGGCCTCTCCCAACTCCTTCCATCGGTCTCTATCCTGAGCAACATATTTCCAATTGTTGTTCCGGCTATTCTTAATGTCATCATACAAATCTCATCTTGGTCCGTCTTACTTTCGTAAGGTTTCCAATGTTGTATTGTAGTATTCCAACGTTGGTCTTTCTGTCTAGCAGTGTGGCCCACGAAGCTCCATTTAAGTTTAGCAATTTTTGTTGTTATGTCCTCGACTTTTGTTTTGGATCTTACCCAGGTCGTTCCTCTTTTTATCTGACAGTCGTATACCTAACATTGCTCTTTCCATTGTTCTTTCTGTTGTGGCTAGTTTATTCATGTTTGCCTTGGTTAGGGTCCAGGTTTGACATCCATATGTCATGATAGGAAGGATGCATTGGTTGAACACTTTGCTCATCAAGTATTGGGGTATTTTGCGGTTCTTAAGTACTCAACTAAGTTTTCCAAATCCTGTCCATGCTAGTCTTGCTCTTCTAGTAATTTCCGCACTTTGGTTCTCTTTGTCAAGTCTCAGGATTTGGCCTAGGTAGATATATTCCTGGATTTGTTCTATCTCACTGCCGTTTATAGTTATATGTCTGGGGTCATCTGTGTTTGTCATTATTTTGATTTTTTCATATTCATTTTTAGGCTGATGTATTGGGAGTTGGCTGCTAGTTCCCCCAACATAATTTGCAGTTCCTCGAATGTGCTCGCTATAATCACTATGTCGTCAGCGAATCTGAGGTGGTTTAACTTGTTGCCATTAACGTTAATGCCATAGGTTGACCAATTTGTAGTTTTGAAGACGTCTTCTAAGGCTAGGTTAAAAAGCTTTGGCGATATTACGTCTCCTTGTCTCACTTCTCTCTTAATGGGATGGGATTTGTATTTTCGTCTAGTTGTACTATCATAGTTGCATTTTCATATATATTATGTATTAGTTGCTTATATCTCGAATCTATTCTACAATTATTAATAGCTTGTTCTATGGCCCACATCTTATTACTATCAAACGCCTTTTCATAGTCGACTAAGGCAAGAAATACGGGTAGTTGGTATTCATTTGCCTTCTCTATCAATGTTCTCATTGTCAGCAGATTGTCTGATGTACTATATCCTTTGTGAAAGCCAGCCTGTTCAACCGGTTGGTAATTATCCATTTTGTAGGTTAACCGGTTATTAATAATTCTCATAAATAGTTTGTATACTTGACTGAGCAACGATTATAGGTCTATAATTCTGTAGATCACATTTGTCCCCATTTTTGTGTAGGAGTATTACTAGACTCTCGTTCCAGTCTTTAGAGATCTGGCTATTATGGAGATATCTATTAAATAGCTCTGTTAGTACAGGGATTGTTAATGTCTTGCTTGTTTTCAAGAGCTCGGCAATTATACCGTCGTGTTCTGGAGCTTTATTATTTTTTAGTTCTTTTAAAGCTGTTTTTAGTTCGTATCCCTTTATATTTGGTAGTACTTCTGATCCCACGTTTTTTATTTTTCTTTTGACGTTCTCCTTTGTTATTTCATAAGGCTGGCCTTGCGAGCTGTACAAGGATGGGTAGAAGTCTTCGACAATATTTGTTATTTTATATTTGTCCTTTTCTACCTTATTGTTGGCGTCTTAATTTTGATGATTTTTTGAACTCTCAGTGCGGGTCTTAGATATTTTAAGCCTCTGTTGTTTGCAATGAATCGCTTTATTAAGTTCTCGTTCCATTTTTGTATGTCGCGTTTTAGTTCTTTTCTAATTATTTTATTAAGTTTTCTATATTGTTGAGTATGGCGTTTGTTTTGCGCTAGTAGTTGTCTTATCATACGGTAATCATACGGACAAGTTGAATTTTGCTGAGAATATTAATTTTGGGACCTCCAAAAAGATGCCAAAAAGTTGATCACTTTTACCTCAAGGTTTCTTTTTAAAAACCCCCTCGTATGGGAACAAAACGGAAAAAAATCGATATATTCAAAAATCTGTAATCCCTTTCAAATTTCTCGTTTGAATGCACAATGCTTGTATCACTGCAGTTTTCCCATTACATGATAATATCCCACAAGCAATAATTTGGTTAGAATCTTAAATTGCTTAGCCCTTTTTAAAATTTCCTATCAAATTAAAAATATTAACAAACGATATGGCCCGTTTCGTCCGCCATATTTCAAAACAACTGTTGCCACCTATAGTTGTTTGAAAACGCGAATAGTTGTTAGGGCTCGTATTGTCCAGTACGCCACAATGAAGGCACTGACAACCCATGAAGTCCTAATCAGTCTATTACAGCTTGTCATACACTTAGTACTTTAAATTCTACGTTAAACTGTAGGTCCCTTAAATCTGTGAACACATTCAGAGAATCTGCCTATGTTCAAAATTGGATATATAATATTGAAAAAGAAGAGGTTTGCTTATTTACTTAACATTAATTTAAAACTGCTCAGTAGTGTACGCTTTAATACCACCTTTAACATCACTCGTATTTGGTAACACATTTGAAAAAGCGATTTCGCCATGTAAAGTGAATTAACTAACAAACACATAAACTCTTTTTTAGGGTTCACTGATCAAATGAACCAAAAACGAATACGCTTAATCTCCATTACATAATCTATTTGTGCCGATTGCAAACTTTTTGGAATTTGCGGAAAAATTCAACGATTAATGACCAGTAACGGAAACGTGGGAGAAAGTAGGTAGATGCGTATTAATTTTCCAATGTTTTGTTTTCTTTTTCTAATAAACGTAAATCTGTCGTTGGACTAGAATCGTGTTTTTAATTCCAAATTGACTAGATTAATTCTCTTTGTTCTATTTTACCTAATATTTTTATTATGCTTTTAATAGTATGGTTGGAATATTTTAAGGTTGCTTCTGGGTTACAATAAAGTTTTTGAATTATGCGGAGATCTTTTGTGTCTAGTTTCATTTTCTGTAGTTCATATAACAATTTTTATGCTGGACTCTATTAAAAACCTTCTGGTATTTGATGAAACACAGATATACTTTTTTCTGGCAATTGAGGGATTTTTGAATAATGAGTGTTTGAGTTGCAAACAGCGCCATTCTTGTTCCCAAGATCTTTCTAAATCCAAACTGAGTGTCACTTATGTCTATTTCACATTTTTTATAAATTCTTACTGTTCTTTTCAATGTGAGGACACTGAGCCGCCTTAATTAATATTATTTTACGTTAAGACTGTCAAAGTATAATTCAAATTTTAAAAGCGAACTTTGGCGCTTAGTTAACTCTTGCATTAGGTAAGAGCGGTAAAATAATTTTGTCGCTGTCTCTTTTTAATACATGTGAGATATCTGGGACAACTGGAAAAAAGAACTCTTTTCTTATAAACGACTTTGCCTACATAGTATGTCTTTTGCTTAGAGTTAAATTTAACAAGCACATAATTACCATTATTGAGACAGCGATCAAGATCTTCGAAACTAGTTGGTTCGAGATCTTCACCAATAAAATCCTCTCATTAATGCAAATCTAATAAAATGCTTAAAAGCTTGCACAAAGCAGTCTGTATTCATCCAACCTGTTTTTAAAGCTAGTCCTAAAGTTCCATTTACCGTTTATCATAAAATCTTTAAAATCTTTAAACTATCGGGAATACCAGCGTAGGAGGAATAGCTGCTCCAGATGCTCCAACAACACAGCATATTGTTATGAGCGTTTTACGTTCGCCACTTGTAGTCTTACTAATCTGTCGAGTATCTCCCTCTGCAAACACTTTTGGGACTTTTAAACGGTACCGGTTCCTGTCTCATCTAAATTATAGAGACGACTACTATTTTTAAATACCAGGAAACACTTTAAGACAGTTTCAAGTTTACTCAAAAATATTTCAATGTTAAATTTATTGAAACCGGTTGCCCTTGCAAGACTACAACTTTCTGCGGTCCGAAGGGTTAAGATATTGGAATGACGTTTCTGAAATCCTTTTATCCTGGCCAGAGAAGCAATTTTTGGTGTACGCCACTTTGCTGGTACCACTATATTATTGTAAGTTGGGGCTTTATATGACAGTTTTTGGGTGTCTTCTCTTGATAGACCATAAAACATTTTAGAACATAGAACAATTATACATTCGCACAAGTCGGTTTCCTGTTCGATAGTAAAAATTTGTTTTACATTTAAATTAGGACATAAACGGACGTTCTCGTCTTATTGATGATTTTTTTCACAAATCTGTAGACTTTTTGGAAAGATAGCCCTTTCATTCGTGCTGCTTGCCGTATATAGGTGACACCTTGTTCTAATTCAATAGCCTGTCTCGTCAGATTTTCAGAAAATCTTCCTATTTTCCGATTTGTTTTACTTTTTCTTGGCATTTTCTTTTAATAAGAGAAATTATTTTGCAAATAATCTGGCTTATACAACTTTAGCGGAACAGTGAGATAGTAAAGGAACAGTGAGACGCGTCTCACTGTTTAATCTGCTGTGTTGTCTCACTATTCCATAAAAATTCGTTAAAAAAAGTAAAAAATGTATACAAAAATCATTTGTTTTAATTTATTTGTCTTGTAAAATGGTTAACTTCTTAGTTAAAATAATTTACCTTGTCTAAAAAACTTTAATTTCCGTGAAAACATTGGCCACGTAGATACGGTATATTTATTACGACGCACTTATTTCGAATGACCAGAGATAACTAAAACATTTCTTGTTGAATCCCAACCATTTCTTGTTTGCTTTACTTAAAGGTGGTAATAAGCATGTTCGTTTAGATAATACGGAACGTAGTAAGCTCTACCGAGTTTGTCTCAGTGTTCCGACAGTCTCACTATACCTACCTCTTCCCGATATTTTTTTGCAATAATATTGATACCTTTTACTTTTAAACTTCCAACTCCATTAGTGGTCATACAAGCCCATACTATGACACTCACAGGATGCTTCATAGTGACCGTAGTACACTGCAGCAAAAGGTCCCTCCCGTTTTACCTCTGTTTTTTATTCAGGAACATCTTCTTTCTAGGTGTTCGTGCTCGCAATCCATTTTCACACAATTTTCTTCTGATAGTGCGGTGCGATATTTGTAAGTCAGTTAATTTGACAATAACATTTATTCCATTTGCGGATCTGGGACGATCTTTTAAAGAAAATTGGCATATTCTACGTTCATTGTATTGATTAATTTTCGGATTTCTGCCTGTTCTTTTTGCTGATTTTGTCATCCAGTATTATGATAACGTTTACAAACTTTCATTACACCTGATTTTGTGGCGTCACCATCCAATTTGTTTGCTATTTCTTGATATATGTAACCTTCTTCTAGGAGGATAATTGCTTTGTCTCTTTTTCCTGATGACCAGTCAACACCATTTGGGTTTCTTGGTGCCATTTTGGTTGAATCGACACTGATGTATTCCTCTCCGACAATTTGTAACGTTTCAATCAACCAATTGAACGTGACACCAAGCTCCGCTTGGTACTTGTCGCCCGTACTATATTATTCCAAAGCCACCACACTAAATTATAAATATTTTTAGGAGCCGTTCCACTCTATATAAGCCAATACGATTTTTTATTCGCTCTCTTCAATCTTATCACTACAATCATTCTTAATGAATTTATAGTCACACAAATTGGTTAGTGTCTTGGCCGTATACACGGGTAAGTATCTTTTCCTAGTTTTAGGCCTCTGTTTTTTACTTCGTCTTCTTTTGCATAGCAGACTTTCTTTCTTAAAATAAAGCTGAAACATTTTAAACTTAATTTTTTCAGTGTATATATGTACTTATATTACCTTATTTCCTTTAATACCTTATTATTAAAAACTTACTTTTATTAATGTCATGCTGTGATCAGAGATTTCGCTTTTTTTGCTGTTTTTTTTTCTTTTCTCTTTCAGTTTTTTAAAACTAACTTCTTTTTAGTAATCATGGCCCTCCCTTTTAATCCAAACCACCCTAATCCCTTAATACAAATCCAAACCTTAATCCAAACCACCTGTTTTGGTCATAGTAGATTGGTTCACCAGGTTTATCTCAGTTCACCTCATGTCCTCAGCGACATCTGCTGGCATCGTGAAATTTATTAAAAATCAGGTCTTCCTAATCTTCGGTATCCCTTAGATTTTTGCTGCTGACAATGGTCTTCAATTCATTTCCAAGGTTCGTTCCGTAGTTCGTTCTGCAGGAGTCGTTCAGTTGTCCAGGAAGGGTCCCGATCTTTGTGGAAGTTATCCGCTGTCGGTGGTTGTTAGTTGAGTTATGAAGAGTTGTTGGTCTAGATAATGGCAATCATCTTTATCTCCATGTTGGTAAATGGGTTTCAAATTATGTTCTGATGCATGAGTGGATTTATAGGTAGTTGCTGATTGTTGTACAAGGTATTATGGTTTTCTGATTTCTTGCTCCCCACGGTATTGTGGTTGTCTATTGTTTGCTCCCCACGTTAGTGTGGTTGTCTATTTCTCGCTCCTTACGGTAGTGGCTCGAAAATTCATACAAAGATTAGTTTTCTCCCAAAAGAAAACCCTGATCAGAAAAAAGCTGAGTATTCAGAGAGAAACGAGCTCAGCAAAATCTCTGATCACAGCGTGGCATTAATAAAAATAAGTTTGTAGGAAAATATTTTTATTAATAAGATATTAAAGGTAATAAAGTAATAAAGGTACATATATACAGTAAGAAAATTAAGTTAAAATATTTTCAGCTTTGTTTTAAGAAAATAAGTATCTGCTATGCAAAAGAAAACAGGTAAAAAACAGAGGCCTAAATCTGGAAAAACATACTTACCCGTGTATACGGCCAAGGCACTAACCAATTTGTGTGACTATAAATTCATTACGAATTATTGTAGTGATAAGATTGAAGAGAGCGAATAAAAAATCGTATTGGCTTATATAGAGTGGAACGGCTACTGAAAATATTTATAATTAGTGAGGTCGCTTTAGAAGAATATAGTACGGGCGACAAGTACCAAGCGTAGCTTGGTGTCATGTTCAATTGGTTAATTGAAACTTTACAAATTAAACAATATAACCTTAGTAATCACATCAGAATTTCTTAAGCTTGTGGAAGGCGATTCAGTGAATATTCTACTCGACCTTTTTAACTGCATCTACAAAAGAGGAGAAATACCAAAGGAATGGCTACTTTCAACTTTTGTAACCTTACCAAAAAAGGCAAATGCAAAACAGTGCACTGACTACTGCACTATAAGCTTAATGGGGCATACATTAAAAGTATTCATCAAAGTAATCCACTCAAGAATTAACAGAAAACTAGATGCAGATATTAGTAATACTCAATTCGGATTTCGGAACGGGCTTGGAACAAGAGAAGCACTATTTGCACTTAACGTCATATGCCAAAGATGTTTAGATATAAACCAAGATATATATATGTGCTTTATTGATTACAACAAAGCGTTAGATTAAGTTCGTCACGATCACTTAATGAAACTGCTAGTAGAAAAAAACTTGGATAAAAGGGACATTAGAATTATCTCTAAGATTAACCAGAAAGCAAATATCCGAATAGAGCAAGAGACAACGGAGGAAATCGAGATCAAGAAAGGCGTAAGACAGGGTTGTATACTCTCACCGACCTTATTCAATCTATACTCCTAAGACATTATAAACACAGCACTTTCGGATCAAAATATAGGTATTAAGATAAATGGCATCCGAATAAACAACTTGAGATATGCCGATGACACGGTACTAATCGCAGAAACTTGGGAAGATCTTCAAATACTAATTAACAAAATAGTAGAATGCAGTGAAGAACACGGATTATCACTTAATATAAGCAAAACAAAAATAATGCTAATATCTAAATCACCACAAAACTTCCCTGACATAACCGTGCATGATCAAAGAATCGAACGTGTAAGAAGATATAATTACCTGGGAACTGTTATCAACGAAAATAATGATTGCTCTGAAGAAATCAGAACCAGAATAGAGAAAGCTAGAACCACATTTACTAAATTGAAAAAGGTGTTCTGCGGAAGAGATCTAAGTCTAAAACTTAAAATTCGCCTTTTGAGATGTTACGTTATGTCAGTTCTTCTCTACGGGATGGAAACATGGACATTGAAAAAGATCGATACCAAAAAGATAGAAGCATGTGAGTTGTGGATGTATCGTAGAATATTAAGAATACCCTGGACAGAGAAAGTAACAAATGTGGAGGTTTTGCGACATGGGTTTTACAATATTTGGGACATGTTATGAGGGGCGATAAATACCAGTTGCTGCAATTGATTATACAGGGAAAGATAATGGGAAAGAGATCTATAGGAAGAAGAAGGCATTCATGGTTGAAAAACTTGAGAGAATGGTACAATTGCACCAATTACCAACTGTTTAGATCTGCAGCATCAAAAATACGCATAGCTTTGATGATAGCCAAACTTCGGAACGAAGACGGCACTTGAAGAAGAAGAACCTTAGTAACAACTATTTGAAGTTACTAATAAACACTGAAAGTCGCACGAAACTGTACTAAACGCTTCCAATTGGGTCGTTGACTGACTAGCAAAACTCTGACGCAATACAGTATTGCCAATGTTGCCATTTACAAATCTCGAATTTTTGGCGTTTCTGTTAAATATGTTTCTGAATATTTAGTTAAATAATTATCTTAATGTATATAAAGTGAGAAATACATAAAATACTCGTATTAAGCAGAAATAAAAACAATAAAATAAAAATATAATTGTACTGATAAACTATATAAATCACGGTCATAGTTGCCAGAAAATCGATAATTTTTGTAACGTTTCTAGAATTTTGGCCACTAGTGTATTTTAATATAAAACAATTGGTTTAATATATATATATATATATATATATATATATATATATAATAAATAAATAATACAATTAAAGATATATTTGATGTACAAATGTTTTTAGAAAACGTTTGGGCTTATTATAGTCTACGATAATATGAGTAAATATCAAATATCAATAATAAATAAGTTTTTTTGACATATTTCCAAGTATCATATTCTCCCAATTTCCCCCAATTTTCATTATAATTTTTTTTTGCAGGATTGGACCCCGCAGGCCCACTCTTCGAATCTCAGGACCCTCGAGCGCGACTGGACCAAAGTGATGCTGAATTCGTTGACGTAATTCACAGTAATGGGGAAAATTTAATACTTGGCGGCCTCGGATCGTCACAGCCGATGGGTCACGTTGATTTCTATCCTAACGGGGGGCGAATGCAGAAGGGATGTAGCCATTTGTTTGTCGGTGCCGTCAGCGATATTATTTGGTGTAAGAGTTAGCCATATTATAAGGGATAGATGAGGGTGTGATAAGATTTTTGATTAGATAGAAACTGGAGTTAAATTATATTGCTGCTCAATTTATTCCCGAACAAACTGAAGAGCATATCAGCAAAAATAAAGTTCAAGTAAACTTGCTATAAAATTCAGTAGCAAAAATGATTTTCATATCAACTGAGAAACTAAAAAAGATTATCAACTAAAAAATTAGGCAGCTTAAATTCCGTTATCATAGTATCTTAAAGAAATGCAAAATAAAAGAAGAGGAAAAGATAAACGACGAGTATGACTTCAGTTTGTTGCATGAGTGTAGTAGTAAAACTTGGTATTTTTATCCATTAACGAAAAACTATTAGATATATATCAATAATTTGCCCTGGCGCGTGCAAACGGAGGCCAAAATTGTCATTTTGAGATATAAACATTTTTTTTTTTTATTAAATTTGCAAATTTACAATCTGCTATTACAAGGTACTAGTAAATGTGATTATTGCAAATACATGAGAGGAGAAATTATCCATTGATAACACTCCCAATACTAACACTAACAAATTAAATTAATGTATGATTATAATTTAAAACTAAAATTGAGATGAAAAGTAAAGTTTAAATTGAAATTAGTGTATGAAGTCTGTTGGCCACTGTCTCTTCAATCTTCGTCTGACTTCTGGTTGGAGGTGTAGTTGTCTTGCTTCCTCGTTGGGGTGGGTTGGCAGATGTTCTAAATAATTTCTTGTTAGTCTGCTGATTTCGTCTTCAACGAACGGTATACCAGAGTCATCATGCAGAGTTTTGTTACTAACGTACCACGGCGCGTTGAAAATCATTCTCAGTATTTTGGATTGGATTCTCTGAATGATTTTGGTATTAGAAGGCTTTGCACAGCCCCATAGTTGCACTCCATATGTCCATATAGGCTTTATTATGCACTTATACAATAGAAGTTTATTATCTCTTGATAACTGTGATTTTCGGCCAATTCATTTGACGTATTTTCATGTTGATTTGGATCTTTTTGGCCAAGATGTGTGCTTTCCAAGTGAGTTTTTGATCAAGTGTCATTCCCAGGTATTTGACTTCTGTTTTTACTGGTAGTAGTATATTGTTCAGTCTGATTCTCGGACATATGATGTTCTTATTGGTGAACGTAATTTGATTAGACTTATTATGGTTAACTTTGATTTTCCATCTATTCATCATCCAGTCTTGTACTAGGTTCAGGTGGACTTGAAGGTTTCCTGATGCTACTTGAGGGTCATCATCGATGGATATTATGGCGGTGTCATCTGCGAATATGGCTACTGTGGTCGTATTTGTTGTTGGAATATCAGCAGTGTATATGAGGTACAGGAGGGGACCCAGGACACTTCCTTGAGGGACACCGGATTTTATGGGATAGTAATAAGAGGTTTCTGTAAGGAATTTGACTTGAAAGTAACGTTCTGTGAGGTATGATTTTAAAAGAAGATAGTGAGGGGTGGGAAAGGATGACTTAAGTTTATATAGGAGGCCGTCGTGCCAAACACGGTCGAAGGCTTGTTCTATATCCAGGAAGGCAGCAGTGCAAATTTTTTTCTCTTCGAGGCATACATTAATGTTTTTTTACAATCCTATGGCACTGTTGTAGAGTTGAATGGGCTTCGCGGAAACCAAACTGGTGGTTTGGGATCACTGAATTAATTTCGATGTCTTCTGAGATTCTTTGGAGCAGAAGTCTTTCAAAGATTTTTGACATTATTGGAAGTAAGCTGATTGGTCTATATGAAGTAATATTATTTGGTGGTTTATTTGGTTTACTTATCATAATTATTTGTGCAAACTTCCAATAATCGGGTAGTAGGCTAATCTTATGATACTATTATATATCATTGTTAGTAGGACAATTGCTTTTCTTGGTAATTTTTTTAATATTAGCCGGTGATCATGTCGAAGCCTGGTGCTTTGTAGTTATTGCATCTAGAAATTTGTTCTTTTACATTATTAGGAGTAAAAAATTTGATTGGTAGCATCATTGGGCATGGAGTGTCTAAAAAGTTTTTAACTTGTTCTTCGTCATTATGGTTATTAAGTTCAGGTGCACCAAAAACGTGTGAGAGATGTGCAACAAAGATTGATGCCTTTTCTTGTTCAGTTTTTCCCCAGCTTCCATCGTCTTTCCTTAGAGGTGGTATGTGCTGTGTAGGCCTCTTGAATGATTTCGTTGCTTTCCAGATGCTGTGGTCTTCAAATGTATCATTCCTTGAATGAATGAATAGTTCAAATGTATCATTCCTTGATATAAACATTTAAAAATTATTTTGAATTTATAAGCAAATTTTAAATGAAACAACTTTAATTTAATTAAAGATGAATTAAAGCTTTATTTAATTTTACAAACTAAAAGAAAATTTTAAATTGTAATTTTGAAAAGAATTATAACATGAGAAAAAAAATAGTTATACCCAAATGCAGAAAACTTTAGCGTACATAATCCTATCTGAACTAATCTTCATCTAGTATATCTTCTTCCTCTTCTGAACAGTAGTCTGCAACATTGCTCTATGTAGGTAAGTTTTTATAGAAATCGTGAAATACGTCATTTATGTATGGTAATAAATCCATTACATAATTTTTCTTTCTGAACAAATTGGATTTGGATATTTACATTTTGGTATATTTAATGGAAGATATGAGAAACCTCTTCTAAGAAAATTCATTATTTTAAATGGTTCATCCTTTTTGTAACTATTTTTATATAAAATCAGTCCAAATTTACCAGTTACCGTCATTATCTACCTTTCTTACTTGTAATGAACTCTTTAGTAAACTTGCAAAATCAATAAAATCATTTCTATTCGTTTCTTGAGCCTTAAAGGGATATCTTTTACCACACAGTCGGATAAGATAACACCAGTCTCTTCGATGTTCAATTCGGCTTTCATATTTTTTTCTATTTTTTTTTCAATTACCGAATGGTCGATATCACAGTCCATTCTTGTGTGTCCTGGAATTAAAAATTTATAATCCAATGTATCGAGACCAGAATTAACCATTAAGACCATAAACATTACAATGAGATGCGAGTTTTTATTCTGTCTTCCACAAGTGTCCGAATACAATGTTATTTTTCTTACTTCTGGTGGGATTTCTAAGAGCTCTTTATACAAACAAGAAGCTATTTGATTGGCTCCATGACCAGAAATAGTTTCATACCACATACAACAAGTAGTTTTGTTATTACCACAATCATGAATTGTAAGGTTGTGCGTCCATCTTCTTACGGTGCCTTATCCTTAAGGACGTTGGCCATTACATTTACCCATTTAATCTTATTTGTAGCAACCCTGAATAGTTCTATGGAGGCCATGTTCGTCCATTGCCGTAGGTTTTTAAGCCAAGAGTTGCGTCTTCTTCCTGGTCCTCTTTTGCTATTGACTTTGCCTTCGATTATAAGTTGGAGCAGTTCATATGTACGTCAATAGTTGCCTTTTATAAAAAGTTATTAAAGTATTTAGAGTGGCCGTGGGTAAACGTTGCTGCAAACCAAAAGCAACAACTCTCTGGGTCTTGTTATATTGACAAATTATTTTATCTTTTCTTTTTGCTGCATCTGCAGCTTCTTCTTCTTCTTAATGCCGATTTAGTTCGCTTCTTATTTTTTCTTTTTGTTCTTCTTTCTTTTCATTCACTATAGTGTTATGTACCTTGTCACAAGTTTGACACGTATCCTTACTATATTTTTTTATTAAAATGTTCAAATGTTTCATTGCATGAAAAATAGTTTTATATATCTTTCTACTTACGGGACTTTGATGTTGTATCCAAGCTTCATATTCATCATACATTCTGGTCAATGTATAAAAAGAAGGTGAAAAACGTCTATCTCCAGTTTTTTCACGACAATAATGACTTTGTATGAAGGTATAAGACCTATATGTTGCTTTATTATGTCAATTCTGTCTGAACTTATTTTTTTAGCAGGTATATGGCTCTCTCTTTTATCTTCATTTGTTTTACCAAAAACTAGTTTTTGTAATAACATTTTCTATAAACTTATTCGACAAATCAAATGTTTTTTGAAAGCACTGTTTAAAAACTTCAACGAGCCCAGCGATCTTGAAGTGATACTGATAGCTACAGACTCTTGTTTTTCATGAATTAAGTTTCATTGTTATTTTTTCCTGTCTCAAAATAAGACTTGAACAGTAAGCAACCCTTTTATTATAATCTCCTAACGGCTTTTCGGTAATCTCCAAGTACCTTGCATTTTTTGCCCTTCATCAACTTATTTTTAGGGTCACGTATTATTTACCTGCATTTATGTCCAATTTTTTCCCTCATTGCTCTAGTATCACCTTTTACCGATTTTCTTTTATTTTTATTTTTATTCAATTGATTTGGATCTGTTGTATTTTCGAACGAAACCAATGAAATACTATTCGAGTCGTCTGATTCAGGAAGTTCATAATCTGGTTCCTTGTCACTGTCGTCGATATCGCTTCCAAAGAACTCAGTAATCCTTTCACTAGGTGCATCTGAAAAAACATTTAGAATACATAATTAATATTTGCTATTTTCTAAATTGTAACAAAACTGATCTTTGTTACAACCAGCTTCAGAAATATCAGCTTTATAAACATCAAAACGAGAATCGATATTTTCTTGTTTTTCCTGTTTTCTCGTTTTTCACATTCCAAATTAAAAAATCTAGCTGTGTCACTTTCTGGTGTAATGGACTGGTCAGTATTTAATTTGAGCTCAGCTAAAACAATAAGAAACATTGAAATATAACTCATTTTATAAATAAAAATTTCTAAAATTTAATTAACCCTCGACGAAATAAGCTCAACGTCTTATTAGATCTTCATAAATTATAACTAAAAACCATCTAAATAATTTATTGTGTCGATTTAAAAAAAACGTATTATAATTTGGTTCATTTATTAATTTTTTTTGTACAATGCCACAGACAGACACACAAATAAACAAACATAAGTAAACATAAATAAATAAATTATACATAAGAGCATAACAGCTGTCTTGATTACGTCAGCTTTTAAATAAAAAATGCATTTAAATCGGCACAATCGTTGAGGAGCTACAATGTCATAGACACAGACACACACGCACACACATAAACATAAACATACAAACACAGACACACCTATTAAATGGATAACTGATAAGTGATAACACTTGTGTTTTTGCGTCAGAGGTAAAAAATAGTCTATTCAACATAAACTAGTTTACTTACCTTCTGAATTTAATGCCCGTTCTGTCAGAGCGGCAAGAAATTCTAGTCTTTCTGCAAACATTTTTACTTACGACATTATTCTCTAATCCAATTAGTAGGCAATAATCTCACAATATGTGCATGTATCACCGCAAAGAATGCAAATGAAAACAAAATACCAATAAGTTATTCAATGTTATTCAGCTGCGAGACAGAAACACGCATGTTCAGTGCATATTTAGGCAAGATCCGAAAAATTGGCGCATTTCAACAGAGTCCATTTGACATAAATTCCTTGAACACATTTCAAAATGAGTTTTTTTCGGTACCACTAATAAGTTTTGCTTGTAAACTTAAACAACAGGGATAAATCCTTTTGCACAATAAAATTTCGATCTAAAAAGTGTTCATTTATGAAGTTTTCTCCATTTGTATATTTTCAGACTTAACTCCGTTTGCACTCGCAAGAGCGAATTGTGAGGTTAACTAAGTTTAAGTTCACCATTATAAAATTCAGTGACAAAACAAACTGGCATAAAAGGAGTGATATATGCACAGGTAAAGGAAAATACCACACAGCAATATAAGGTGCAATACAAGTAAGCGAGGAAAAATCTTTAGAGGTTTGTGTCATGTCAGATGAAGATCCATACAGCGTACATAATAACTATCCAGAAAACTAAATATTTCTCAAAAATACGTAAAAAATAATTTCAAATAATAATAAATTTCATCCAACAAAGTAAGGTTGGTTCATGTATTGTCAGATGCCGATGTTGATAGTGTGAAGAGTTTGCAGCAACAGAAAAGAATACAAATACAAGAAATACATGAAAATCCAAACGATCCAATTTCTTAAAATAATGTTACGTTTTAAGATAAAGTTACTTTTATTATTAACAGACCTAAATTGGCATAATTGTGGATATTGGTCACATAAGAATCCTCGTTGAATGCAAATATCACACTCAGTATGGACTATGGAACCCAACTATCCTAGAAAAACAATGTAATAAAAGTATCCGATATAACTCGAAGACAATCTCGCCTGCATGCACTTTAATATAAAACCTCTTGTTCGTTATATATTACTAATAATATTTTATTTTATTTTAATAATAGTATATCTACGCTTTTTCTAAATTTCTTAATTTCTTTTATTATACTTTTCTTTTAGCTAACACGCTTGCTGCTTTTATTTTCCTAACCAATTCTTCTCTTTATAGCTATAGAGGCTCCTATTGCTGAATTAGCTGAAACTGTAATTTCTGAACTTACACAAAAACCTGTAAATAGAAATAATTTTAATCAAGGTAGGTTAAATCAATGTTTAAATTTACTGTATAATAGTACTTTGAACTTGTTTTATAGGTAATGTTTTTATATTTAATTAATTACTGATCTATCTCTCGGAAAATATTTTGAATATTGTGTTCAGAAGAGTTATATCCCTTTAACTTTTACATTCCAACCAATCTCGCTTCTTGTGCAATAGACGTATGATTCCAGTGGACCATTCTTGTGACATTTGTTCTTCTTTTTAGACTGTTATGCTGTGAATTTGATGTATAATACTGTTATCTCTAATTAGACTTTAATTTACTCTCTTTTAACGTGGAAAAGACAGTAGTATTATCCTACAAAGGAGCTCTTTAACCCTTGCTTCTTAAATAACAGCCAGATCAGTACCGTTGATTCTATAAAATTTCTTGTTATTTTTATAGATGGCAACCTTAAAATGGTCCCTTCATAGCGATTTGTTAAGTACCTACAGTCTGACCTCGCCCACCTTCCCCAATTTTTGCACAGAAGTTGCCTATAATAATAAAATTTCGTGTTTATTAAGTTTCTGTAAGTTATCTTGGATCGTCATATTTTCTATCTGAAGTCTAGGCATAGATTTGGAGTATGTTAGTTTTAAATGGTTGAGTATTTATTTGGAGTAATATTATTCTATCCGAGACTGGTACGAAATTGGTCACATATTTACTCAGTTCTGATGTTGCTAATACACCTACACAATTTTTGTGATGCGGGTCTTCTGTGCTGTTAGCGGAATAATATAATATACTTTCGTCCTTTTTAGATGATCCTAACTCTAGGTAGGTCCATTTTCATTCTTTTCATTTCTTGCATTGCGTTGTCAAGTTTCCCAAGTGCAAATAGACTTCTAACATTCCATGTGCACATTCTAAAATTAGATTTCTTTATTTTTACGAATTCTTCACGAGGTTTCTCCTTTCCTGCCGAATCTTGGCCTCCGCTTTCCATGATTAGTAACGATTTAAAATTGCAGTGTGAATGTATACCATTGAATAGCATTTTTATAGTCTTTTCAATGATGTATCACAAGTAGATGTTTGCAATTTAAATATTTTTGGTTGTGGTTGGTGTGTGCCTAGGCGGCTGATGCGGATAAGTTCTCTTTCATGGCATTTTAGTTCCCCCTTACTATCCTAGAAACGGTTTCAAGCATTTTTGGATATCAGCTTTTGTTTGTTAGATATAGCCCATTGTAAGTTTTAAAATTGATAATATTTTAAAATTGATAACAATAATATTTTCTACTTGGACTTCCTAAGTGTCGCAATTAAGGCGTAGATTAAATTGTATTATAAGCAAAAGTTAGGTGGTGTGATATGAACGAAGCAATGACCTAAGGTGCTTATGTATCTATTATGTGTGAGATTATAAATTGGGGGTTTAAGTTCAAATGAACACAGTCAATATTGAGTAGTTACCGAACGAACACCATATTGTGTAATTACGAGTTGCTGTCAATAAATCATCACTTTTACTTTAAAACTTCAACATTTATTATCCCTATCATCATCGATCAACGAGAAGCGGACAAAGGCACATTTACGAACCGAACCGAACTTCAATACTAAGTTCGATATTTTTCATTGGTATCCATAGGTCGCTAGTTCATATCCGGCTCGAAGGACCAATGAAAAATATCGAACTTAGTATTGAAGTTCGATTCGGTTTGTAAATGTCCCTTTGTCCGCTTCTCGTTAATCGATGATAATAGGGATAATAAATGTTGAAGTTGTAAAGTAAAAGTGATGATTTATTGACAGCAACTCGTAATTACACAATATGGTGTTCGTTCGGTAACTACTCAATATTGACTGTGTTCATTTGAACTCAAATCCCTAATTTATAATCTCACAGATAATAGATAAGCACCTTAGATCATTGCTTCGTTCATATCACACCACCTAACTTTTGCTTATAATACAATTTATTCTACGCCTTAATTGCGACACTTAGGAAGTTCAAGTAGAAAATATTATTATTCGGCAATTTATTTAGTTGTAGGTAAATGAACTAATATTAAATTATCATACGATATGGTTTTGCAATATATATAATGCAAACTTATACACGGTGAAACTATAAAATATTAAGAAGTTAAGAATAATGTGAGATTACAAATTAAGGGGTTAATTTGTGATTGAACACACAATATATATATATATATATATATATATATATATATATATATATATATATATACAGTAAAACCTCCGTTAACCGAAATAATTGGGGAAGGGCGTTTCGGATAACAAGAATTTCGGTTAAAAATAACATTGTTTTTTTAAACATTTTTAACATTTAGTATTCTTCGTTAAAATATTGGTATTAAAAAATACTATGCGGTGATTTCCTAATGTTTTCTAAGACGTAAATACATAAATACAGAATAAAGTATTAAAATTAAGGAAAATGAACAAGTTAACATGATTTTTTCAAGAAATCTTCTATTTTCTTTTACGTTATCGTTGACAACGATGTTTTGTAGCTATATATCTCTATCGTTAATTTGCAGAACGTCGTGAGTTTGCCTCATTTCATTGTTCGACGAAACGTAAAGCAATCTGAAAAGGAAAAAACTTTATACAATAGCAACAACAATTAAGAACCTACTCGTGTCCGTAACTAATTAGGCCTACTGTATAAAATTCTTTTCCTTAAGGCATTGAAATCTCATCGGCAGTCTCATGCTACCTGTTGTCTGTTGGGTCGTCATCTTCGTCGTCTGATACTCTCAGGTTGTCTGGATGAAGAACCATATCAATGATGACCTGGTCGATGAATTCACTTTCTGAGTCATCGGCTGCTAAACACTCACGTATCTCTTCTTAACGTAAATTTTTTATTAAAGGTTTAATTTCTGCTCTCGTTTCTTTACCAGTTTCTTCTTCAGGATCGTCAATCAAAATCCTATCAAAAAGTTAGTTCCAGCATTTTTCCAAAGTTGAAGATTTGATCTTGGCCAGAACTCAGCACACCGATAAACCAACATGTTTCATTGTTGAACAATTGAGGATTTCAGGACACTTTTGCATTCATTCGTCCCCTGTAATAACAGATGTCTTAAGAATGTTCCTGTATAATGTCTCTCGAATGTCTCTATTACTCCCTGGTCTAATAGCTGAATTAAACTCGGGACATTCGGTGGCAAAATCTGACAATTATCACTATTGCATAGATTTTGAGGGTGGTTGGCGCATTGTCAACAAGCAACAATGCTTTGATAGGAAGGTTTTTTTATTTTAAAAAGGATTTTACACTTGGGACGAATTCATTTTCGAAGCATTCTAAAAATAAAGTGGTCGACATCCATGAGCATTTTTGGCTTCTACAAAAAACTGGAAGTGCTTTTTCTCAAATATCTTTTAGAGCTCTTGGTTGTTTTGATTTCCCAACACACATAGGCATCAATCGGTAAGTCAAATTAATGGAATTGTTTACATTTTGCGATAAAATATTACTTTTTATTGACGACATTATTTAAACTGTCAGTCGTTTCGGTTAAAGGAGGTTTTAGTGTGTATATATATATATATATATATATATATAATATATATATATATATATATATATATATATATATATATATAACACTGTTTTTGATGGGTTGGAGTCAAAAGTTGGAGTTTTATTGACTCCAACCCATCAAAAACAGTGTTATATTTTTTCCAAACGAGTCACAAGTACTTCTTTTTTTCTTATATATATATATATATATATATATATATATATATATATATATATATATATATATATATATATATATATATATATATATTTTAAAAATATTAGTTTTTATGTATTATAAGCTTATGCAGAGACGTTTTCAATATTTTTTATTCGCCAAATTTTACAATTTACTTACATTGCCTGAATGTCAACCAAAGCTTAAATTAACTCTATTTCGCAAATTACTAACATCATTTTAAACCCGACCGTATACTTTTCAGCTTCAGCAGTAGAAGGACGTTCGCTATGCAACCACAGAAGAGCATACCATCTTTTCATCGACTCCGTCTCGCCGAGATGCCACTTTCCAGCGTTTCCTTGCGAATCTTATGAAGATTTCATTGACGGAAAATGTTTCCCGTGTACCGAAGAGAGGTAAAAAGTCTTGTTTTGAATGATCGTTATGGGTCGACACGATATAGAGCTCAGTTTGTCTGAGATCGTTGGAGGTTTTTTAAAATTTCACGAAAGTTTGGGAAAGTGGGTAGAATGAGAAAATGTTAGTGGGTAAGGAAATCTTGCGGGTTTAACAAGAAGTATTTCTATTTGGTTTTATATTGAGTTAGATATATATGTATATAGGTGTAGACTAGGCGGTATCTGTAGAAATTCAGACCATAATGGACATTTTCCATAGGAAGTTATTTTTTTGCTGAAATCCCTTCAGGATGTGCTCAATATCGATAATCACGATATGCGCTAGTCTCAAACTCTGTGCTAAATTTTTTATTTAACAAAATCTGAAAACAATTGAAAATTTCCCATTTTTTTGCTCTTATTTTCGTTTATAATTCGGAAAATATTGATCATAGAGAAAAAATTATACAAAGTTAAAAATTTCGTTATTCAATTTTACACAATATTTCGATAGCTAGAAATTGAAAATTTAATGTTTATTGTTGAAAAAATAGCAATAATTGGAAAAAAAAGTACAAAAAAATAAAGTTATTTCTTTAAATGTTTTCGACTTTCTAAACTTGACTTACAAGCTCCATATTCCCCCTAGAAATACTTTTTAACATGTTTAAAACGTGTGCTAAATTTTGTTAAGATCGGTCGGATAAGTTTTGCATAATAATTTTGCAATCCAACCTACTGGAAAAAATAACAATTTTTCAAATTTATAGTACACCCCAAATAAGGCCCTCAGAGAGTTGTAATTTTTTTTACATATAAAGGAAGGCTTAAACTTTCAAACGCTTTTTGTAAAATTTAAATCGGTTCACTGGGAGAGCCCAGAAATTTTTTGAAAGTTTTAAACATTTTTTAGGCTTATAAACAAATTGAATAACTTTACGAGCTTTAAACATAAATACACAAATTTCAACATTTATACACTTAAAGAACATTAAAATACGCTTCTTTAAAAAAAAAAAGATACATTCGGCTTACTGGTTGCCGAGATATTGAAGGTCAAAGTTGGCATACATTTGCAGTGTAACCATAAGTGATAGAGGGCTCGTTTTTAAACAAATACCCTCGTCTTGTCAATTGCTTTTTATATGAAAAGTTTTACGTAATGCGATTCATGACAACATCCGGACGACTTCATTCTTTGTTTGATAGACAATAGCCCATACTAAACGCTCAAAAGATTAAACAGTGCAGCAGTCACCTTTTGAGTGGGAAGTGTATATGAGTAGGTTAGTGTTGCAATATTGCAATAGCGATTTAGTAAATATTTATTTCTTAGACCTTCAACCCTGTGTACAGTATTTAAGTTTCTTTAATTGCGATCTATAATTTATGTAGTTGAAAGAAGTCACAGAGATATCTACGGAGATTGCAAAAAGTAATTTGGAGTGCCATTTATTTTTCTTATTTTCTTTTTTTATGAGATACCTTTGGGATGAATATATCGTCTTTTCAAGGAATCCCCCATCAAAATACTGTTTGCTGTTTAATGTATGCAACTTCTTTATTTATTTTACGATATATAATTGTTTTGTAAAGTTTTTCAATAAATTAAAACTTATAAAATCCTTTCATGGATAATAAATATACACTTCTTTTCTTTGTTTATAATCGTAAAGATAAGAAGGAAAACAATTTTTTCGTATATTAAAATTTTTATTTACTCTAAAGACATTATACATAGCTATTCTAGATTAATTTTAAGTGGGTTAAAATTTTAATTTTTCTATTAATGTAGTTTTTTAGGAATTCTTTTTTCTCATTTATATCTTAAACTTTTTTTAACCTAAGATATTTATAAGATGGTTAACCATACCATTAAAAGATGTCATAAACAAATGTTTACTATCCATATTCAAGTTTTAAAAATTTTAGAATGTATTTTATCCATTATTTTATATTTTATATGAGTGTTATTAATGTTGAGTGTCAAAGCTTTTTATATAATCTCAACGACTATGTCTTGAAAGAGGAATAAAACATTCCGAAAGCTAGACCAAAAGTCAAAAGAGTGTTTCTTTAACATCCCGGCCAAATTTCTGACTGCAGCCCTAATAAACTGTGTTGGTTGTTTGCGACAGTCACTAATATCCAGTATTTCTTGTATATATATATATATATATATATATATATATATATATATATATATATATATATATGAATTATTCGAGGCTTCTATAATCAATTGGTAATTATTATTTTGTCGGTAATTACGTCGGCGCTTCTCTCAGCAATAATAAAAAACTTAAATAAATTACACTGAATGATCCCTGACACACGACGTGATCGGAATGTCCTACGTCAAAACCATAACCGAAAGATACTTTGGCGCCATTAATATTCACGGAGAAACCGGTCACAATTTATAAACCCTCGTGCTGAGGAGGCGGCGACTCTACGTGATGCATTACTAACACAGACAAAAAACAATATTTGTTTGTCCGAAATAAAATGTGCTAAATGAAAAATGAATCAGTGGCCCACGAAAATAACATATACATATCTACATGTTATATATAATATATATATATATATATATATATATATATATATATATATATATATATATATATATATATATATATATATATATATGGGAATAGACATAGGCGGTGGTGAATGTCTAACAGCTTTATTTTTCGCAGATGATCAGGTAGTCGTAGCGAATGACGAGGAAGACATGGACTACATGTTTAGAAAACTAAAGAAAGAATATGAACAATGGGGTCTCAATATGAATATGGCAAAGACAGAGTATCTTAAAATAGGAGATGGTGAAGAAGATCCAGAGTTAGAAATTAGAAACACAAAAACATGCAATGAATATAAATATCTCGGATCTATAATATCTAAAGAAGGCACTACCAAAAGAGACATCGAAAACAGAACACAGCAGGGAAAAAAAGTGGTAAACAGTCTAAACTCTCTACTTTGGTCTAAAGATATTAGACAAGAAACGAAATTGACAATCTATCGAACCTTGGTAGAGCCTATTATGACTTATGGGGCAGAGGTTTGGCAGATAACGCAGAAGGATAGAAAAAGAATAGAAGTAGTAGAAATGGATTTTCTAAGGAGAGCGTGTGGTATATCCAAAAAAGATCACATCAGGAATGAAGATATTAGAAGGAGGACAAATACTGTATATTCCAGTGTAGATAGAATTGAAACGAGACAACTAGTGTGGTATGGTCACGTGAAACGAATGAATGAAGATAGATGGCCAAAGAAAGCTTTAAATTACATACCACAACAAAGAAGAAGAAGGGAAGGCCTTCAGTTGCCTGGGAAGAAAATGTACGGCACATAATGAGAGATAGAGCCATCAGAGAAGACGAATGGATGGACAGAAAACGATGGCGGTCGAAATGCGAGAAACGGCAGAGGCTGTAGGAACCTCGCTTATATATATATATATATATATATATATATATACATATATATACCAACAATATATATATATATATATATATATATATATATATATATGTATATGTATATATACATATATATATGTATATGTATATATACATATATATATATATATACATATATATATATATATATATATATATATATATATATATATAAATATATATATATGTATAACTATATATATGAAACCTAGAGCTAAGATTAATATTATTATCACCAGTCTTCCGGGTAAACCGCGTCGATATCCATTTTGCCGAGCTTTCGGCATCCTCTCTGATGCCTTCCTCAGGGCTTCCGAGGTCTCAGTCTCCCGAGCCCCCAGACACTACTACACTGTTCACTGATCACTGCGCTGCGCTGTCAGCTGATATATATATATATATATATATATATATATATATACAAAATAGATATTAATATATTATTATGATCTGCTTAAGTTTAAATTAAGATAAATTTTATTGAATTAAATTAAATTAAAATAGATTGAATTTCTCAGGATTCTTTACTTTAAGATAGACAATAGACATAGGGCTTTCTTTAAGATAAACAAGGAGAATAAATATTATGTACACAATTTATGACCTTTTTACAAAAACACCATTAATTTTAATATCATATAGAAATATAAAAATAAAGATCGTGTACAGTTTATTATCTATTTCTCAGAACAAAAGAAAATTTAGTGTTATTAGTTCCCTTTTTAAACCATGTTATTTAATTTACTGTAAAAATTGTTCTAATTAACTTTCTTAAAAAAGAAACAAAATTTTATTATGTGCCAACTATCTGATTTGTAAATTCAATTCTTTTTAATCAATTACTTTATAATATGGGTTAAAAAAGCATATATGGTACAAATACAACGCTTATTTCACAAATAATTTGACTGACCTTTTTGATTTACTCTCTGCAATGTTTCCCGACGAACACTGATTTAGTCTCCGGATTTTGTTCCTGCAAAACTATCCAATTCCCTAAATACGTATAGGTATGCTTTCTTCTTCCAAAACTGTTACACAAAACAGCACTCGTTCAGATTCTCTCCAAAATTAAACCTCTTGCAGCCTGGAACTCTTTCAGCCAAATGGTTTTCCCGCCTCGACTGGTTATCTCATACAAACTTTATACAAATTTTCTTTCTTTACATTCAGAGCTAGGAGTGAGTCTCTTCGGACACAAGGAGTTTGGGATTATCGACCTGGTCTCGATTCGCCTTCAACTATTCTGGTATCAACAAGTTCACCCACAAACAACAACTTATACTTATTTTTCAAACACTATTCACAAACTGGGCTTCTTGTTCTGGATGGTAACAACACAATTATTAAAATCTTCTGGTTCAATTTTCTAATCGACTGTTCTGTTTGTCCAAATATATTCAAATTGTTCAAAATGTTCACCCACAACATTTACTTTAAAGAACTAAAAAACTAACATAAATTTATTGTATATAAAATAAATCAAAAACCAAGATCATTTTAAGTTTAATAACAATGTTTTTCTAGAAGAGATCATTCGTTTTCAGAATTGGGTCAGAACCAAAATGTTTTTTTCGAATTTTAAAAATTTAACAGATTCTTACAAGAATACCTCACGTTATTTTGCTAAAAATGGTTTTGATTATAAATAAAACAGTAAAAAAAAGATAAAAACTTTTTTGCTGAATACTTCTCAACAAAATTATTTTTATACAATTTTTAGACAATGCGGAAATATGGGATATTATGCTGATCGCTCCAAAGGAAGGGGACAGCTTTATTTAATAACCAGAGAAGAAGAACCGTTTTGTGGTAAATATTAAATCTGATTTTGTTTTCAATACGCATGTTAACTTTGTAACGTCTTTATATGTATTATTTTGTCAAAATCAAACTAATAACATGAGTTATTAAGTAACACATGAAATACAGAGGCGAATAGATCTAACATGGGCAGCATTTGGCAAATTAAGCCATATTCTAAAAAGTTCAATTCCCATGTGTCTCAAGCGAAAGGTTTATAACCAATGTGTTTTACCTGTACAAACTTATGGAGCAGAGACTTTAACACTCACGCAAAAATCTGCGAATAAACTTAAGAGTTACACAACGAGCCATGGAACGTGCAATGCTGAACGTGAGCCTTCGAGACCACATAACAAACCAACAAATCAGGCAAAGATCAGGAGTTCAAGACGTCATCGAAAGAACCACGACGCTTAAGTGGAACTGGGCAGGGCACTTAGCCAGAACACAAGATGGACGGTGGACAAGACGTATTATGGAATGGAGGCCCAGAAATTATAAAAGAAGCCGAGGACGACCACCGACTAGATGGACCGATGACATTAAACGTGTAGCGGGAAACTGGCTACAAGCGGCCCAGTGTAGAGAACACTGGAAAGAACTGAGGGAGGCCTATGTCCAGCAGTGGACGCGATTGGCTGATTGATGAAACTAATAAAATAGTACTTTATACAAATTAAAAGAATTGTGTGTTAGTAGGAACTTAGTAGGATACTAGAAGTATTTCTGCTAAAGTAGCATGTTGTTTAGACAATTTTTTGATGTCAGTCAACAGAATCTTTTTTTGAAGTCTGTTAAGAATAGTCTGACTAATTTACTTAAAAAATTATAGTTTCTTTATACTTTACTTTAATAGCTCGTTATAAAGTAAATTTATTTTTATTTGGAAATATTTTAACGGCTTTTTCTTGATTGTTACAGCTCATCAATACCATGTCAAAATTGAAACAAGCCCGAGTCCCGTTCCTATAAAGAGCTACGGGAAAATACAAATTACTCTGGTTGGTGAGTCCGCTCTAAATGAGACCTTTATGATGACAAGGTTAGTATTCCAAGTGTTGATTAGTAAATTTATTTGTTTGACCACAGTTTTAGTAAGATTATTTTAAGGAGTTAGTAATCTTGAAAGAGATTTATTGACGGTGAAATTATAAAAGCGTAGTTCTTTAGTCTATGACTCTGTCGATTTTAGTAGTTATTTGTATACCGAATACAAATTTAAGTGTTTAAGTATGACTTCACTTAGAGTTTACGCTTCTATTCCATATATTAGTACTGGAAAAATATAACAATGTTGTATTAAAACTCAAATGTCAGTAAAAATCGTTACTCGTTTTTTAAGTAATTTCTCTTGTATCAGACAATTTAAAACACACACGCATCTATTGACAAAGCAATCCTCAAGAAGACTTAAAAATCTGTTAAAAGAAGATAAAAATGAGGGGATTTAAACTGTAACATTTTTTTATAATTAAAATACTAAACAATTTTTAATCCTTTTACCCCTGTTGCTGAGACGCCGATGGTCGTATTCGCAAATAGCTTGTTAAATTTTATTGGGACGTACCACTTCTCAGATTACGGAAGAACCTACTTGGTTAATCGTTAGCTAATTTTTTTCTGGTTGCGGACGGGGGGAATAGTATTCTTCTGAGAGAACGTAATTCAGAAAGTTTTATTTTCCTCACGTTCCAAATTACTAGTACCATAATTACCCCGAACCTTCCATTCCCGGTTTTAAAAGCTAGTTTCGAACCCACGACTCGATCTCCACCAACCATCTGGCTGCCGTCCGTAGTGTTTCCATTGGTGATCTTTCTAGCACCATCCGAAAAAGGATTCTGAGGTTACAAAACTTATCTATAACATCTGACGCAGTTCAAAAATGCAAACTATTTTTTATGGAAAGCGATGAGAAAATTAAAAAGGCCACAAGACGTAATACCTCCTTTAAAAAATGCCAAAGGTAAATTGGCAAGAAGTATTTAATCCATTTACCATAGTAGTGCATGTAGAAAAACAAGAACCAATTCATTCTTTTTTTAACTCTCCATGTCAAATTGAACTACCAATCTTCCAATTTAATATTAAAGAAGTAAAACAGGTAATAAAAAATGAGATAAAAATTGACAATGAGGAGTCAAGGTCTTTCAAGAACTAACCTATGATTTCTACAGAATAATTACTGTGATCTTTCATGCTATGTTAAGTCACTAATTACCTTTGCAATGGAAATTAGCACAGATTAATCTCATTCAAAAACCTGGTAAAGTACCAAAAGATGTCAACTTATACCAACCGATTAGTTTACGTCCAGTCATTTTTAAGGTTTTTTAAAAAACTTCTGTTGACAAAAATCAAACCAATATTGGACAAAAAGAGTCTTATATATAACCATCAATTTGGATTTCGTAACCAACATGCTACAATAGAACAACTTCGCAGAATATTAAATAAGAACTATCTCGAAAACAAGCAATATTGTACTGCAGCCTTTTAAGATGCCTCGCAAGCTTTTGACACACAGGTGTGGCACAAGTAAGTTAAAGACAAACCTACCTTCACTTACTTCAAAAATGCTTAAATCATACCTTACATAAAAAAGATATCTAGTAACGTATACTGAAGCCTATATAAAACTCTACCCCACCATATCTGGTGTACCTTAGGGTAGTGTGCTCGGACCCATCTCGTACCTGATATATTCGTCTGACTGATATATCTATACCTATATACCTGATACATCTCGTATTTGATATATTCAGCTGACTTACCAACAAGTAATAACTTTACCCTGGCAACATTGGCAAATGATATTGCTTTACTAACATCTCATAGTAATCTAGTAATAGCATCAGAGGTACTGCAACTGTATCTAAACAAATTTAATGAATGGTTTAAACTTTGGAGAATTAAAGTAAATCCCTCAAAATCCACACGTATTACGTTCACTCTAAGAAGAGGTATATGTCCACAATTTAATCTCGATGGACATCCTTCAGTCCAAAACGATGACGTTAAACATCTAGGCATTCGTATGAACAAACGATTAACATGAACCAAACATATATGAACGAAAAGACTACAACTAGGAATTTTATAAAGACAACTTTACTAGATGCTGGGAAAAAACTCACACCAGTCAATCGACAACAAGCTGCTGATATAAGTTATAAAAAACCCGTTTGATCATATGGCTCGCAGCTTTGAAGATCAGCTAGCAAACATAATGTTACCAAACCATACCGGACTGTGGCTACACTAGTGGAAGCTACGCTTTCAGCAACGTTCAACCATTGTGATCTGTGGTGCTTTTTTGATGTAAAAAGCCGTAAAAAAACAACTTTTGATGTTAAAAAAATTAATATCTGGTCTGCATTTGACCTGTTTTTCATAAGTATGCTTCTATTTATGAAAACATAAGTACTAAAGAAGCAATGCACTAGTCTACAGTACCTCCTACTGTTCTATTTTTGTTTTTCTATGCTCATGCTTGTTTATCTCATTTACCGAATCTACAGGTAATTTCTCTTTGTCCTATATTTTTTTCAATATTAAACTCAAATTAACGCCTTGACTCGAGTATCAAGCAGGAGGTCTTAGTTTTTAATAACAAAATTAATTTGTGCTAAGATTGGTTTTTAATAATATACTGTTTTACTTGAAGGAAAGACGACGAGGAAATGCGCCTAGGAGAATCTATATCTAGAATGCTGGTTCCACATCCGATTTTATCACAACCCGTTCAAATAGAAATACTCTACACGGCTTATAGTGGTTGGCTTTCTTCTGGTTTAACTCAATGGAGAATCAACAAAGTTATTTTAATGGATAGCTTTGGAAAAACGTAAGTTATTTTTTAATATTCTTTGATCTACTACACAAAACTCTGTGTGATTTTTTCTGTCTTATCGAGATCTAGATGACCTAGTCGGCTGGAGAATTTTTCATATATTTTCTGACGCATCTGAAAATCGCGAAAGTATTACTTTATATTATTATTTACTTACACAGGGGGTGGAGTTCAGTATGCATTTTTAACTCCCTTTGGTACCTTGACTTTTATTTTATGTTTTTTGGTGCCCGGATGTAATTTTTCAAGGGTACCATGCTAAGAATTCGTCAGGTATTTATTATTAACAATTTATTTGTTTAAATGATTGTATCTTCTAAACTTCAAAATGAAATGAAGAAAGGCAGCAAATATTTGATTTCACGCAAACAAATCCTATGTATCTCTTGTTACGTATTTCGACCTAATAGGTCTCGTCAGAAGAGCTATTCATAGGAGTCCTATGAATAGCTCTTCTGACGAGACCTATTAGGTCGAAATACGTATCAAGAGGTACATAGGATTTGTTTGCGTGGAATCAAATATTTGCTGCCTTTCTTCATTTTATTCGGATTTACTCTGTGTGAGTACTAGAAGCACAATTCGCTAAGGATTTCTGCTAAGTTGTAAAAGACATGTCGTGGAATGCAAATGTTAGATTCCCCATGTCTCTTTTAACATCTTTTATCAACGTCTGTTTGCCTTGCAATTTTTAAAAGGCTCAGATTATAAAGCAAAAATCTGAATTGTGTTTCGAAACTATTTTACGATTGTTTCAAAATGAAAATTGATCCTTTTAAAGAAATGGACAAAATGACGTTTGGACGTTTGGAAATTTTTATTCGATTAATATAACAGGAATTATAATAACTTTCGTAATAAAATAATTGCAAAATAGGCATTCCATGGAGCTGTTCCAAGTATAACTCAGCTTTGATACGTTCATTAACTTCCAAAACCCACTAATTTGAAAGGTAATTGCCTCAGCTTTAAAATGAACTTTACAAAATCACTTTATCTTTATTAATGCAAAAGTTATAAAAATTAAACATTTTCAGTAAACAGTTTCACTAAAAAGTTGCGAATTAATTTGTTTATTAAGACATTTAAACAAAATTAAGCTAAAAATTTTTATATCTATAGATCTTTTAGTAATATATTTCACATAGTTTTCAGTTGGAACTGACAAGTAGAACAACCACCGCTGCAGAAACATGTTTCTTAATGTAAGCCAATAGTTCGATGATGTATTCTCGACATAGTTCTAGCCGATGTGATTCTTTTTTTCTTCAATTTTTATATATTTGTTGTGTCATCTAGAATGCTAATTCCGCATCATAATAAATGCCGTTTTGCTTCTATAATAAGTTATTGAATTATTATGTATATTCCAGGTCTTCCGTTTGCAAAAAGAGTTTGGTTTTAGAATCAGGAAAGCCAGTCTTACTTCCTTTATATCCAGGAGAATGTAACATTCCTACCAGCGATTATGAAGCAGAAGATAGGATACACATTTTAGATGATAATACAACATCAACAACAAAAACTTCAAGCTTTATACCAACTCAAGTTGTCAAAGAAGGTATTATAGATACAAACAATAAATCATCGGACAAGGACAACATATCTTTTAAAAACGCAATGGAATTTTTTAACATACCTTGGACGAATGATAGAGAAAACTATGTATTAGACGAGACTGAATCTAGTAGAGCATTCAATACCAGACCAGCTAAAAATGGTTATAATGACGGTACTATCAAAGAAATAGTAGAACCGATATTGAAACCGCATTCTAGCAAAAATGCTAGATCACACGATCCCAATAAAGAAGTAGAAATAACAGAACCTTTGTTAGGACCTACAACGGATAAAAATGCTGCTCTTAAATCTGTAAGCACCACTACAACAGAACACGGAGACATTAAGACTACCACAATTAATCAACCATTAGAAGAAGAAGATTCTTCGATTTGGACACCTAAAAAACCATCTAATACAAAAAAGGAACCAAGAAAGAGACAGGATGAATCCAGAATTTTATCTGGTTTCGAACAGCCTGAAAATCCCATAGAAGCTATAGTAAACACAGTTCAGTTCTTACCTCAGAGGCTTGCCAGGATGTTTGAGCAGGCTGAGAAATATGCTAAAGAAACAATTTTGCCGCTAGTTAGTACATACACTCCAAGATTCATATCAGACATTATAACACCGCAAGAAAGTACAAGCCAGAAATACGTTCCATTAAGGTATGAAGAACCAACGACGAGACCGATTATATCATCAACTGTGTTGTCTAATGCAGAAAGATATAGAAATAATAAAAAATTTGATCCCCCTCCTTCTATTCAACCAGAAGTCAAAACTACAGATTTTACTACTCCGGTGACGAATATCCAGAAAATAAGAAGAAAGGGTGAGCCTGAAGAGGTAAGAATTATATTTAAAAAATATATGTAAGATAATTTTTTAACTTGATATTTTTCGAGCGTATCACACCGATGCTCGATTAAGCGAAAGTAATGAAAACGTGTTTTTACATTCCTATAATTTGGTTTTTAAACATTTAAAATATTTTTATTAACTCTAATGACAAATAAGCCGATATATCTTTTACCACAGATTCAACCAGAGCAGTTACAACTAATAAAGACGCTTCAGAATAGGAACAAAGACGAACTTGTTGCCGCAGAGTCTCGCCACACGAAAGAACAACATGCAGTAACGTACCTGAAGACGACTCCGATGCCCAACGAGGCCAGAAGAGCAGCACGGGACGACCTCAATGTTAGTAGTGGTTCTGGTAGTATTTTAAATAACGCTTTTGTTGCTTCTACTAAATCACCAGATCCCGATGCCATTTATATTAATTTACCTGTTTACGATAAAGATGATAAAAAAGTTAAATATATACCTTTAAATCATTGATTTATGAAGGTCCCATTAGGTCAACTTTAGTAGTATATTTATAGTAAACTTAAGAGCTGTTAGACTAAAGCATACAAAAATATACTTAGAAGATTTATTGCTTGCATACATTCACAAAAAACACAAAATGAAAAAGAGTACAAACGTTTTAAAAAACTTTGGATCTAGTACTCAAAATTTGATATTATTCCTATAAAAATTAATTTTTATTCAACTAGACCAAATCTCCAAAGTAAAAATATTAATTAAATAAAATAAATTTATTATGAGAAGGTTCTATTACTTAAACCAAGAGTCAGCAACCAACGATAAGTAAACCGTTACGGTGCGGTCATGCGCAATGTTGCTCGAATGGTTATAATATCCTTCGCATGCGCGTTGTGTCTCTTGTCCCAAGCACCGCCAAACCAGAGCTTTCTCACTCCTACTCGCTCACATTTTGTCAATAGTCGTGTGGGTAACAGATATACTTGAACTGTCAGCGTTTCTTTTGACAATCTTTACTAAGTTGATGGGGTTTGAAGTACGCATTAAAATTTAGTTGTTTTACCCTTTGAGTGTGTATTTTTATTACTATTAATATATCGGTTGAGTTTATTTTTCTCGGAATTTTTGGTTTCTTAATAACACGCTACCAACGATTCTTAAGGATGCAGTTAAAAAACTAGCCAGAAACAAATCACCCGGAATAGATGATCTTCCAGCTGAACTGAACAGCAGAAGGTGGCCATGATACTACGGCGTGAACGGAAAGTATTACAAAATTCTCTACGGTAGGCAGCGTGTTAAGATAGAAGGTTTAAGATGTATATGGTATGCAATGCGCATGAAACAGAATGACTTAATAGTAAAATGCTCCTTGGTAGATCCATTGGTCAGAGAAGAAGAGAAAGACTCAGACCAAGGTTCCTTGATAGCATCGATGAAGACATGAGAAATATTGGAATACGTGTTTGGCGGAGAGAAGCTAGGGCGCACGCAAGGTTTTAAAGCCATAATGATGAATAACACGCTAAACGTGGCTTTAAAAAAAGGAAAATTGTAGAAGATTTTAACGAAGCATGAAAATATTTATATTTTTTCATCGAGTTTATTCGAATACTGTAATGCTTGATTTGTTGCAAGAGTATTTTTATAGTAAAGGAATATAACCTGGCTCGTCGTTGTGGTAGGCAACAATAAATAAAGCGTTTGTGTAAAGCTTTAGGGTAACAAAAATACTAGCATAACGTGGGCGTCCATTCAATCAAAGTGAACTTGGGGAAAAATGTGTTCAGATAAGTATGTTTAGAGAACAAAAAATTGAAAGTCTCAATCTCTTTGAAAGAACCTGCACACGATGCAATGAATATTTAGGCATTAACGTGTATAAAGAGCTCAAAGATTAAGCAGAGTTCCTTTTATTTGAATGTGGTGTCTGTACGTAGTACGTTCAAAGCAATAAAAGAGCTAGGAATACCAAATCAGTTGGTAAATTAATAAAATTAACTCTTGAAAAAATTGAATGTAGAGTACGAATTCAGAGGGAACTGTCTGAACCTTTTAAAACGAATTACAGGCTGCAGCAGGAAGACCCTCTCCTGTATACTGTTTAATCTAACTTTAAAAGAAGTAATACGTAAATAACATATCACAACTATTGGTCTATTCTATAATAAATAAGTGCAAATCCTTGCCTATGCTGATGATATTAATATTATTGGGAGAAAGGAAAACGCTGGCGCTGTACGAAAGGCGTATGTAGCAATAAAAGAATCAGCTACAAAAATAGGTTTAATAACAATCACCAACAAAACGAAGTATATGAGAATAAGCACACAACCACAAATACTACGACCACTTGTTATAGAAAACGACGTCATCGAAGCAGTTAACAAATTTGAATACTTGGGAGCGTCCTTATATGCTATTTTGGACTCAATCTCCTCCTTAAATCCACAATTATCTCTAGAAATACAAAACTAAAACTCTACAAAACAATAATACACCCAGTCCTAACATATGACAACAAAATTAATCTAACAAAAAGTAATGAAAATATGTTAAGAGTTTCAAAAGAAAAGTACCAAGGTGAATCTCTGGAGCAGTGAACGACAATTGAGTGTGGAGAAGATGATACTCACTTTGAACTTTATAGAATATACCAGGCACCAGTTATCGTAAAACATATTAAGATAGGACGTCTGAGGTGGATAGGACATATAATGCGGATGGAACAAAATGAACCAGTTAGAAAAACGCTCCTCGACAAATCAATTGGCCAGAGAAGAAGAGGAAGATCCAGAACAAGGTTATTTGATAACATCAATGAAGACATAAGAAATATGGTAATACGTGTTTGGCGGAAAAAGGCGACGGATAGAGATGACTGGAGAGAAATTCTTGAGGAGGTTGGGACCCACGAATTGAGCTAAGAAAAGATAATATTCTACTGATGGGGATAAGAACATCAGCGGCTAACCTAAAGGTAATATCGGTAGAATTATTAGCAAAAAGAAACGCTAGGCTCTTGATATTTCATTGAATTGTTTAAGAAGGGTTGTATGTCAAAGTTTAATTAAAAAAAAACAATGGCTACGGCCATATCTACTGTTAATTTTATAAGAGAAAATATGCTCACACACTCTCTGTGCCAAAATTTTCTGGAAGCTGACTATGGCGATCTGGTTTATTATTGTGAATTGAAAGTGACTGAACCAAGGCGCCGTTCTAAAATAAAGGCGTTTAACTAAATAAAGAGATTAGAGACTTATGGACATAAAAAAAGTCATTTGAAAATGTTTTCAAAAACCAGTGAATTTTAGAATTTGGTTCTCTGACTGATTTAACTGGCGAACCAAATCAGCTCAACACGAGCTCACAGGAAAAAAAGTTGATATGCGAAATATATTCAGATGTAAAGCCATTTGAGATGGAACTAAAAATATAAATCAAGGATATTGATTAAAAAAGCTCAACTATTTTCCTAACTACAAGAAAGGTGTTAAAGAAACTGGGGAGAGTTTTTGATGGCAAAACCCGAAAATGAGAAATGTGTTGATATAACTTCAAACTAAGTATAAAAATTGATTTTCTGATTTTAAAAAGATCTCACTTCAAAAGAAAAGCGTTAACTTGGTAGAATTTTACAAAAAGTTAAATTTTTTACTTGAAGAAATTTATTCTTGAAATATATTATTATTTATTTTGATAGAAAAGTTTATTTAGCAGATGATTACAATGTTTCAACCTAAAAAAGTTGTCAGCAGTTACAGTAACTGCCAAAAAAACTGTTTGCTGAACATTTCCCTGACGTAAAAGGCATCACCTACTTTGATGGATTTAAATGAAAACAATTTGAATTTTCCTTGTTGAAATATATGCAATTTTATTTTCTTTCTAGGCTAACTAACTCTTATTTACACTTCAATAAATATACTACTAGTAAAGTTCCTTCTATCGTACCATTTTTTGTTCAATAATATTTACTTAGATACTATTTAATAGTATTTAAACTGTTTGTAGTCTGTCGATGTTATTTAGGATATTTTACGACTAGAAAAATTAAAACTAATTTATTTATTTTATTAGATTTGTACATATTAACTCTTTATTATTCTTTTGTTTATATTTTTATATATGTTTTGATAATAAAATATATAGAAAATAGTTAATATTTAATTCAAAACAATCTAAAATTTCAGTTAATTTCAAAATTAACGAATCTTAAAAAATTTAAGTTTGTTTTCAGATATTTTACCGATAATCAATGGCAGCGTTGCTCATTGATTAATATTTCATGTGATTGATAAAGAACTTTAAGAACGCATCAGGTTAACACCTTCCATTTAAAGTGATTTCATGTAAACCTATACAGTATGATGCAAATCCATTAAATATTTCAGAAGACTAAAAAACCTTTAAACACAACATTTTAATTTTTGAATAGCCATTAATTGCTATATATGTGTTCTACATTACGTCATTAGTGTAAGAGTAATGATGGTCTCTGAGAAACCTCACATATTGTGAGAAACATATTGAGATTTTACTGATCATTGTTTGTAGATATACATTCTATCTTTAGACTTAGGCAGACATAAATCGATTTCTCAATCAACAATTAGCAAAAATGAACAAAAAAACCGAGAGAGGGTTATATTAAAGATCTCCCTAGAAGTGGTAGAAAATCAATATCCGAAGCCAAAAAACTGGACGTTGTACTGGTGTTTCAAGAAAATCCCCATACTATTTTGAGGAAAGTCACAGTTAATAATGTTCAACAATCAATTGTTGTTAGAGTGCTAAAAAGGAGAAATTGCATCCGGACAAAGTACATCAGGAGCTAGTACATTAGGAGCTAGTACAAGATGACCTTGATAAAAGAATCAAATTCTACTAAACCATTGTATAACGATGTAACGTGGATCAGAGTTTCATAGAAAAAGTACTTTTTTCAGAGGAAATTGATATATATGCTTTAATATGTACATTCAGGTTTAAAATATATATGAATACCTATTGTCCAAATTTGCTTCTTACGTATCATTTGTAAAAAAATGATTATTTTAGGTATTATAAAGAAAGGTATAAAAAGTGTTTTTTAATCAAGAATATTGTATTGCACTAACCCAAAAAAAATAGTAGAACTAACTCAGGTTAAATTAGCAAGACGGTAACAAGTAGTTTGTCTGGTGTGTTGAATAAAAAAGTGTTAAGCTATGTACGAAAAGCTAAGAAAACATTTTTTGACATATTTTAATATAATTAAATAGTATTATATCCGAGAGCAATGATATGGCAGCAGAGTGGGTAGTAGGTAAATATTACCGAAATGCACGGGTTCGAATACTGTCGGACATAGGCATTTTTTATTCAAA